CCAAACCGACGGGCACACTTTGGCAGGCCCCTTAAAATTTCTGTGGAATTTTCTAGTTAAGAAATAATTTGGTGTGCATTTACGTTGTCCCTCTTGTTTGGTCCCGTGGAGTGAGTTGGACTGGGTTTGGTTTCAGGATATTAGAATAAACAAGAAGTAGGAAAGACGAAAACATGGTTAAAATGTGAATTTAGAGAGTGTGATGGATAGTTCATCCAACAAAAGGTCATAAAATAGACTGTTTTTGTAGGAAGGTTTGATTTATTTCATCCAGGATTCAAACAGTTTAGCAGATTATTTTGTTTTTAGCATGGAAACTATATTAGATGTAATTAAATATCCCAGCTTTGAATATTCAACATATTTTGAGTTAAAAACTGTGATGTTTACTGTACCTCTATTTGCCCACTGATAGTTTGTCTTTACCAAATCAGACTAATAGATGAACGTACATATTTAGCTTATAATCAGTTTTCTGCTCTCTATGATTCAACAGAGACTGAAGATCTTGGTACAATCTTTATAGTAAATAACTTCAACCCCATAAGTGAATACAATTTTTTGGGTGGGTGTGTTTATTTTCTTTTTTCGCTGTTAGTTATCTCTCTATTACTCATCTGACAGGTAGAGATAAATTAAGTGGCTGTTGACATGTTGGTCCTGTAATTTCCTGTCTTTGCGGCTGACAGTCGGTCAGACAGAGGCCACCTCTAATTGAAGGGTTTTCCACAAATGCACCTCGGAACCATTTCCACAGTGTTGCTGGTAGAGACAGGAAGGAAGCAGGAGTCATAAAGAGATTATCATTCAATATCCACAAACAAACCTCTAAAAACATCAACAACAATTAAACATAAGCTACATCATATGCAGAGATGCACCGCGTAAAGAAATAAGGATAATTGTGATTATAATGAACCAGACTGCTCTCTCTGTAGATCTTTATTGCCACCTAGTGGTTCCTGCAAACATCAGAAGGTATATTAGGAAAATTAGAAAGTCTTAAGGAAACAAAATGGTAATAAAATTTAAGAACATCCTCATAAGTTATTTTTTGTAATGACTGAAAACTTAACTTTTGCAAACAATATTCAATCAGTTTGAAATGCTTCTACTTTACTTCAAATCTGTCTGCATGATTACTTTGAAATGACTTTTTGATTTATAAAGTGCATTTAGATGACAATTTGTGCTGTAAAAATAAACTGAATTTAATTCAAATGTGATACTTACTGGACTTAAAGAACAAAGGAAAGCCATCATGTCACGAGATACAGTCTCCATTTCTTTCAAATGACTTTAAATTTAAAGTCTTAGTAGAAATATAACTGTTAATATAGTTTTATTTCATATTTGCTTAAGATAAAGAAAGAAAAGAACAAATGTTCAAAAACTAAATTGATGGATGAACATTTACTTCTGAGAAAACAAAAGACCCTGTCAGTGTTAAGCAGGACTAAAATCTGTGAAAATGATGGCGTTTTGCACGACCTAAAAAGTTTAGTTTGCTGTCTAACTCTACAGGACTTGCACCAAACTTTAGCTTTGCAAATGTGAAAAATAAAAATAAAAAAAAATAAAAATCTGGAAACTTTTTATTTTTTTTTTACCACAAGGAGAATGGGTTAACCTTCACTAATTGATGTTTATTTTATTCAGTGCAGAAAGAAACTGGAATCTGAAACTGGAACCAACAGTCCGGTTTGTATCCTCTGTTTTCTGTAACATGCTGCCACCTACTGGCCAATCTGATGCATCACAAACAGGACAAGCGTTCCAGTTGAAAGCTCAATAATTCAGAGTTTTGCTTTCAATTCAAAACGAGGTCTTTCAGCAGAAAAATTAGATATTCTTCTTTTGGTTTGACGTGGGTTGTTTTTTAAGATATGTGTTATTATCTCCACGTTTTCAGACATAGTTATTAAGCCGATATCCACTGCTAGAAAGGGAGCAAAGCGAGGGTGCATGATTGTCCTTCAGGGCCTCAGGGGGCCTGTAGAGAGGAGCAGGGGGGTTTAGGTTGTTGAAAGGAGGTGGAGGAGCTGAAGGTTGATGTGTCTGCGCACGGAGGCGACCCTGCGACCTTTCTCTGCTGCTCCAGCACAGCACCAGCCCACCGGTCACGCTGAGGAAGGACGAGGCGTAGCCAAGATACACAGCCAAGCCGATCTCGTACTTCATCCCGCTGAGAAGAAAGGGATCGTAAAAATCCATGATCACGTCGTTGGTGGTCCAGGAAACGGTGACGAGGCAGAGGAGGCCAGCGCAGAGGAAACCGACCCCGCCGCTGAGGACCAGGGGGGATTTGACCACTGAACGTTGAGCAAAGTGGGTGCACTTCATCCCCATTACAGCGACCAGAGATGCCAAGACGGAGGAGATGCAGGAGAGCACCATGAGAGCCCGAGCAGCCTACAGGAAAGAAAAACAAAGTCTAATAAAGCAGACACTGTCATCTTGTATTTCACATTTTTTCTCACCCACATTTCACATTTAAAGTTACCATTTTCCTAAGTAGTGACACCAAAATATAATAACAGAGGTTATTTATTTGATGCAGTGTGATTCATCTTAGTTAAGTGTCAGTTTATTCTGCGTTTTCTAACACTGACATGGAGCTAATGAATCGATCTTTGGAGCAAACACAACAAATCAGTTGTTCATTCAAGAGCCATCTTTAATGTCTAAACAAAGCACTACTACCTAAAATCAGGTGAGTCTTCAGATCTTCACTCATTTTAGCAGAACAGAAAGAAAAAGCACACTTGGGAACTAATTACTCCAAACAATAGACATGTAACAGCCTCATTATGCAGGTTTTTGGTGTTTTTTTATTTCATTTATGCTTATTTTGCTTGAAAGACTCAAAGTAAGTTAACTGAATGTGAAATTGGGGGAATTTTTTTTAGCTCATATTTTCTGAAAGTAGTTGTGCTGTTTGACTTTTAATACGCACCAATAAACATAAAAATAATAATAGATTTAATTTGGAAGTGTTTTTCTTTGCACTCGAAGGCATTGTACAAAATATACAAAGTCTGAATGTAAAATATTTTCCTTTCTCCATTTAAAACATTGAATATGAAAAGTATTCTTGTAAGAGCATTAAATTAATACATTTTCTGAAAAGTCTACATTATGACAATGTGAATTTTTGTCTTATTTTTGCAAAGTATTAAAAATATTTGAAAAATATTGTCTTGCATTTAGCAAATAGAAATAATTTACCGATCTAAAACAAGAGAAGTTGAGGTTATTTCCGTCTTTTTGGTGAAGAGCACCAGTTCTTTATGGAGAAAAACATCCACACAACATGATGCTGCCACCACCAGACTTCACAGTTGAAATCTGACACAACTCCATTTTTGTTTACATTTTGTGAAGAAGGAAGCTGCACTCATGTCTTTTTCTGAGGATTTCATGTCGCTTCCATCAGTGATTCTTAGTAAAGCGCCACCACAGGTGAGGTTTTTATTTTTTTAAAAATTTGCTTTGTTTTGACACAGTGTGATATGAAAGCAAACCGCACCAGCTGAAAAATGTAACAAATGTTGCAATTTTTGTCCCCAATCGAAAACAGTCGACAAAGCTGACTAACCGCCTAGACAAACGAACTTTAGTTCCGGTTCGTTTGGGGACGAGTGAATCAAACTCTGAACAGATTTCGGTTCAGGTGAAGTGAACTCTGGCGCCGTTCGAAAGCATATGCGGATACAAGCGGACCGGAAACCGCTCCAAAAGCAGGAAACAAACTGTAGTTTCTGGGTAACTAAAGAAAACAAATGCGCACGTCTAGCTCCAAAGGGAGAAACATTTAACCAGAGTCAAACGAGAAATCCTACAACCGCTAAAATGCGACGCTACGCCATTTTTGTTTACACTTTGTGAAGAAGGAAGTTGCGCTGGTCTTCTTTGGAGGTTTTTGTGTTGTTTCCTTCAGTGTTTTTTTGTACAGCGCCCCCACAGGTGAAGGGTGGAACAGGTTTTTCAAAGGGTTTGGATTGTTTGACACAACGCAGTGTGAAAGCAAACCATCTGAAAACGTAATAATTGTTGCAGCTTTTGTCCCCAATCAAACAGAGTCTATTTGATGTGAAAACTCTCTTAATTTCAGACAGAGGAGGAAAAAAGTGGTTGTCTTTTTAATATACGTCTTTGGTTCTCACAGTAAATCTTACCTACCAAGTGTTTTTAGTCCAGTTTATAGTGCCAATATCTTAGTACACTTGGGATAAGAGATAACTAATGTACAATTAGTATGTATGCGTGTATTTCTCAGCAAGATATAGAAGCTTGTGTTAATGGTAGATTATTTCACTAAAATATGGGAAAAACATCTTGTTATAAGTAAAATAATCTACAAATGGAACTAGTACGTTTTTGTCCACATTAAGGAATTATTGACTTAAAAGAAGCTCATATATTTTGCTGAGAAATTACTTGTACGTTAGTTTTCTCTTATTTCAAGTGTACTAAGGTATTTGCACTAAAAACTGGACTAAAAGTACTTGGTAAGATTTAGTGTCTTTGCAGTGATCAGGCCATGTGGATAAAGCTTCGGTACCTGCAGGTCAGGGGGCAACGCCAGCAGAGATCGATACAGCTCACACTGGTAAATGCCCGTGCTGTGCCAGGCGCACTCCATCCACAGGCCTTTCATGTAGGCAGTGGCTGTCATGATGTTGGATCCCATGTAGGCTGTGCTGCGCCAGTGAGGGAGCAAAGTTGTGACAATGGTTCCTGCAAAGCCCAAAAGTCCTAGAAAGAAGCCGAGGAGCTGGACCGCCATGCTGGCCATGATCGAAGCGCTGGAACTGAAAAGTAAATAAGTGAGTAGTTAAAATCACTCAGAAGGAAGACATGTATGCCACTGCAGGTGATGATTATTTCACAAATGTGCAAAAACCACCCAACAAAAATAAGACACACTCACAAGATTACTTACAGTTCCCAGGGCTGAAATTCAGTCAGGATTACTCCTCTTATCGTCCCCGGAGCAGCAGCATGTTCCTCCCAGCTTACCAGCGGTCACGGAGCCTGAGCCATTCCTCAAGTGTCTCTTCTGAACGTGCGCAGAAATAGCTGTGGAAAGTTTCAGCGCTCCGGCGTCATCGGTCTCTGGTGAGTGGCAGGTGGCTGTGTGTGTGACTAATGAGAGCAGTGTTCAGCTTCACCTGGTAAACGCTCTCTCCTCTGGAGGGGCAAAACCACAGCAGTCTATTTGTTAAGCTCTTCGCCACACCTCAGGAAAAAGACGAAATTAAACATTTACAGAAACCCACCTGAGCTGAGAGCACAACTTTAAGTCGGTGAAATTATTTCACTGCTCTGCAGGACGTTTGAAGGTGAGGGGCTGCAGACAGATTCTGGCTGCTGGGTCCAGAACTGTTATAATAGAGAAAGCACAGAAATTGGTTTAATTTTGGGGTCAGGTTGGATTATTTCCAGGGATTGCACTGTCTGAAACCCTGTTACACATTTACAAACAAAGAAGTAAAAATAATACAACTTGTAGCTCCAGGCTACCTTAAACTGTCAATAAGCTCTAATGATTTACTTTTGTTCCTCTTAAATGTTTTTAGCAAAATATGACAAGGAAAGTGCATGTTTATTTGAGTAATATTGATAGAAAACTGCGTTTAATCTCCAAATAAAAGGAAACTAGAACAAATTCATTGTTCTGACTTCCTCAGAGAACAAAGGCTCTTTGCAAAGCCTGGTTATTTTTTCTGTGTTAGACCTGGCACTGCTTGGATCACATAAAATCTCAGTGACACGAGCCCTTTTGTTCTTACTTAATGATCGACTACACTGAAGGCATGAAAGGAAATCATCAGGAACAAAAGCTAAGCTGTGACAAGAATCTTGTCTCACTTTCGCACCACGAGTTCAGCCCAGTTTAACCACATAACAATTCCCTGCCAGAGTGTTTGTATTAATTCAACTTACCCACATTTAGGCAAGTCCCAACCACAGACTTTATTAATGTGAAATGGAAAAAAAATACTGGATTTTTGGAAAAAATAAAAAATAAATCTGAAAAGTGTGGTGTGCGTTTATCTTCAGCCCCTTTTACTCTGAAATCCATGAATGCATTCCAGTGATGTCACCTGCTTTCACCTAATTAATAAATTGAGTCCAGCTGTGTGTTTTTTTAACGTTTTTTTTTAGAGATCAGTGAACAGACAGCATCACAAAAACAAAGGAATCACAACAGAAAAGTCAGAAACAAAACCAAAAAGCTTAAAATAAAACCTTTTGGCCACCAATCTAACACTGCACATTACCCTAAACATACAATCCTCATGTTGAAACATGGCAGTGGCAGAGTTATGCTGTGGTAATCCTCTCTTCAGGGGAGGATAGATAAGAAAATTAAAAACAAACATGTTTTAAGCAAAAATTCACAAGACACACACACACACACACACACACACACACACACACACACACACACACACACCTTAATCAGTTTTAAATAGAAAGAAACTGATTTGGAAAAATGTAATTTTGTCTGATTTTGTAATTTTTTGTTACTCATATAAATTATTGTCATTCTGTTCCTTAAAATACCAAAACTTCCTAAACACGTTATATTTTGGTCCGCCTGATGATGTCATTTTTCTTTTTGTTACTCAGTACTTGAGTAGACTTTTTACCAAACCTCACATGAGTAATTTCTTGGATGGCTACTTTTTACTTTTAAAAAGGTCATATTTAAATGGGTACAGATGATTGAGTCACCCAAAAATGCTTGAAATGACAGTTAGCACTAGCTCCGCTCTGATTGTGACATCTTAGTTGTCAAGCAACATATCCATTTGCCAGAGTTGCAGGACTGTCAGCAGCGTGACAGGCCAGTTTTAGATATCATCAGCTTGATCACTGACATTATGTCCATCAGTGTCGGAGACATCATGTAAGAGATGGCCTGAGAGACGGGCCCAAGCAGATAAAAAGCGCCAATGTCACATTTGGAGAGAAGTGTTACCATGCAGCGCCACACTGAAGAGATATTGTCCTCACTTCTTCTTGGAGATTAAGAGCGTCCGACAAGACCGTGATTCACAACTTTAAAAAGTACAAACCACACAGTCAGCAGCAGAGCAGAGCAGCATGAGGTGCAGAAAGTTTACCTGATTGAATTTATGTGCGGCATAAGGAGCCAGATGAGGTCTTCTTCCTGCTGTTCATCCTTCTTTCTTCGTCTGTGTCCCGAGCGTAGACTACCGTGACATCCTGTTGCCGTACAAAAGCATTTTCTCAGCCCTTCCCCTGGGTCGCTCGTGGAGCATTCGGCTGTCTGTGTGATCCCTGCGGCGGAGGGATCATCCTCTCCAAGGTCTGCCCGTGGGAGACGCCATTTCAAAGTGGAACACTTAATAGTCTTAGTTAAACAGAATAATCCTGTGATTAGCAGCTGAGCATATAGTGGGTTTGCTTCTCTCAGCGCTTGAGGGTGACACTGCAACGCTACTGCGATGATGTGGACAGGCAATATAAGGGTTTAAATGACTGGAAAGCTGCACTTTATTCACACCTGATCAACAAACACACTACTCAAGATAAATTAAGTCAAGATCCTTTCATTTAGTACGTTTCAGATTCTTTAAAAGTTGTGATTTTCTGTGTTACAGCTATTGTTTTGAAACCAACACTTAGGAATGTCAGTTTAATAATTGACTTTAAAAGTCAAAATTATGACATTGACTTTTAAAATTGATTCTAAAAGTCATATTCATGATTTTTAGAATCATGAATATGACTTTGAAATTCATCGTTATGACTATCAGAATAAAAATGATGCGCTTTTAATCTCATAGATTGGACTGTGATTCTCCTAATTATGATTTTAATTGTCGAAATAATAACGCTGAATATCATAAACTAAAACGGATTATGCCCTTACAAAAAAAGAATGAATTCTGACTCAAATCTAGAATTTCAGATATTTTTTCTCAGAATTCAGATTTTTTTTTCCCCCCAAAAGTTTTTAGAATTATAACTTTAATCTTAAAATTCAGACTCAAATCTAGGAAATTATATTTGATTTTTCTCAGAATTGTGACTTTTTCTTTGATCTCAGAATTTTGACTTTTGTATTTAGAATTGTGACAGAATTCTGATGTTTTTTGAAGAATTGTGACAGAATTCTGATGTATTTTTTTAGAATTCTGACTCAAATCTAGAATTTCTCATATTTCTTTCTAAGAATTTTGACTTTTTTCTCAAAATTTTGAATCTAATCTCAGAATTTTGATGATTTTTAGAATTCCAAGTTCAATCTCAAAATTCAGAATCAAAATCTAGAAATTCAGATTCTCTTTTTTTTCCCTCATAATTTTTTATATTTAGAATTCTGACTTTAATCCCAGAATTTTGACTTTAATCTCAAAAAAGGGAACAAACATATGTAAAAACATTACTTGAATCTGACATGTTCCTCTTGAATTAGCTTTGCTTCACAATTTGCATTTGCCTCCACAGGTGTGCTTATCTGTGTAAAAGTTAGAATTTTGAGACTGAAGTCAGGATTGTGATATCAGAAATATGAGATTAAAATCAAAATTTTTGTGTGTTTTCTGGCACTAATGTTCCTCTATAAAGTATGACTTTGAATCTAGTAGCTTTAATCTCATAATCATGACTTTAAATTATGAAATATGTTGCCTTTTTCTGTAAAATGACAAACCTTCCATATAAATTTGCTTATATAACTAAATATTTTTGTTTGTTGTTAGTTTATATAAGAGTACAGAGGTTTCATTTCTGCCCTAAATGTTTTTTATTTGTCCTAGTTGCCGCAAAGATTAAAGTCAGCCATTTTCGCGCCGTTGTGCTGAGATGTATCATTAGATAGCAACTTTAATACTCAGCTGACTATTTTTTTTTGCCTGTTTCATATTTTATTTGACATTTTTTAGCAAACAGGTCAGATTATTTTAAATATTAACAGTGTATTCTGTTAAGTACGATAGTCACTACAAGACTTAATCAACACGTAAAGTGAACAATTTTGAATGTAATGTAAAAAGGTCAGTTTTGTTAGCATTGTTAGCTTATTTTAATTACAGAGCTATTGTGTTGCTAGCTTTCTTTCAACGTCGTCAAACTCGGTAGCTTGAATTTTATCAACTTGTTTAAATACAGTAAGGTTATCAGGAATGATAAAGGTGAGAAAAACAACCAACAATACTAGGAAGTACTCATGGACACGCAAGTCTCATCATTTGAAGACTCCCCAGCGGCCTCGGCCCGTCAGAACCGTCATGACCCGCAGCCAGTGCACCTCCGCCGCGGGCTTCTTCAACGGACTCCCCGCTGAGGTGTTCCACATGATCCTGGATCAAATGTCCGGTGCGTGTAGAGCGCTAAACCCACAATACTAACACATCCATTAAATTTATAATAGATGTGGGAAATGGCGTTAAATTATTAAAAGAATATCTCACATTTATGAGAACATTCCTGGAAAAGTAGCACGGACAGATATAGCCTACAGGTGCGTCTAATTAAATAGCAATATTGTTGAAAATGTAATTTATGGTAGTAATTTAATTCACGGAGGACACTAATTATACACAGTTTCATTACACTAAATGAAAATATTCACCTGATTAATATTTGTGTTGATTTCTTTATAACTGAGTACTAACTCAGAAAGAAAGATAACAGTATAAATCTAATTTTCATCCAGTGTTAAATATTAAGTCACTTGGCTAATTAAAGCCCCAAGTTCAGTTATTCAAAAGCAAGATATTTAATGCTAAAGTATTATGTTGTGGCGATACTGAAGTAGTTTTTAAGCATCTAAGTCAATTGCTGTTTTATCAAAATAAGTCTAAGTTTTATTATTTGTACATTTTACAAGTTTTACTGAATGATATACAAAAAACTTGCTACGCCTGGTGGTTTGGTGTTAGAGCGGTCATTCATCCAACAGCCCGTCGTGTTTTTGAGTTAAAACATGTTTAAAGTTGACAGGAAATTTGAAAATATCACTTGATAATCATGTGTTATTGAAAGATTGGAAGAGTAACACCTGAACACCAACTATAAAGTCTTAAAAAATGCAAACATTTAAAAAAGACTTAAATAAATAAGCATTGCTAAGCCTGGTGGGGGCACAAATAAAGCCTGGTGGCCCGCCAGACTTATAATACACTGGGGGAAACCCTGATCTAGCAGATTATTCTCCAGAACGATGTTTTAAAAGTCTTTTTGACTTGTAAAACATAATTTACCAGTGTAAATTTGATCAGCAACATGATGTTTTTTTTAACTTGTGTGTGTTTCAGTGGTGGACATCAGCGTGTTCAGCATGGTTTCAAAGGAACTCACCAGTTGCATTGTGAACTACATCTCCTCCCAGGCCTGGAGGAATAAAACCATCATCCAGAGCTTTCACAACCCCACATTGTTAGAACAAAGATCCACACTGGAGCACTACAGACACCTGGGTAAATTCACTCACTTCCCTCTTTAAGCCAAACTTATTCTTTGTAGCCTCTGTTTTTATTTTTTCAAGTCTTTTGATTGTCACATTTCAGGATTGTTGTTCAAGAGGTGTACCCTGCTGCTACCCACAAAGGACAGGTTAAAGTTCATATTTAGCAAGTTTTCACAGGTAAGGATGAAAAGAGGTAAGATGACACAGTGTAGTTGAATGAGTCATTGTCAGTATTTTAAAATTATTCACAACCTTAATAAAATGCCAGTTTTGTGACAAATAATACATTTAACGACAAAACAACCTGGTTACATATTGTAAGTGTGCACATCCTTGAGTTAATAGTTTGTTGATACATTTTTTACGTCAGTTGCAGCATTTAGTCTTTTTCTTTTAGCATTTTCTTGAGGCAGATGGCACCTCAACGCGTTTGACGTATTTGCTAGGATGGTGAAAATGAAGTTGGATCTCATTTTTCAACCTCAACAGCAGTCTAAGTTTAAATTAAAACCAGCTAAAGAATAGGTTTAAGATTTTGGATGATTAAGGATACGAGATTTTCTCACCATCTGAGAGATTTGAAGATCATTTTTAAGGTAGAGTGAGTAAATATTTCCAAGTCAAGATGTGGGATGGTGATAGACTGAATGCTGAAATTAGATTTTATTTTTGCCAACAGATTTGTTTTTTTGGTTGAATTTTACAGGACAATAGTTACAAATGAAGGGAGAAAACTTTTGAAATGCTTTATGTTGTCATTTCCTAACCTGACATTTTTGAAAAGGGTCACAAGTGATGAATGCAAAATTTGAGATTTGTGCCATATAAAAAAGTATTTTATGCTCTAAGAAATATTTCACCTAACCAGACCTGGAGACACAGAATCTCAGAGGTTGAGAACAACCAGCCTGAAAAACAGTTTTTTCCCCCTGTGGGCTTTTTCTCTTTCCTTCTCATGCTTTTTAATTATTTATTTAAGTCTGAAAGAATGTTTTGCTCTCCAGTCTCAGCTTGCTGTATTTTTGTTTTAGTGGATTCAGAAGAGAGCAACATATCAGTGGCAACTCTTTCTGGTGTTTCTGGCTTTCTGATTCTGTACTTTCAGCCTAAATGTAATATAAACAAATAATTAGCGTCTTATATAAAATGATGTTGCATTTTAGATACCCTGCTTCACGTTGGAGCAGTGCCTTGCACCAGACTGCACTGGTTTCTCCCGATACGGCGTCTTCCTCCAGGTCAGTGCCTCGTTTATAAAAGCTGGATATTCTGTGAAAATTTAAATAAAGAAATAAATGAATTAAAGGAGTTTACGTCTGCGGAGACGGTCTGCTTGTTAAAGTGACATGGTGCTACAGAAATGTTGGAATTTCACATATTTACCCATTTAATAAATAATCCATCTTTCATTTTTGTGCTGTGTCTTAGTTCAGTCGATAATTTAATGCAAACATGGGGTGATGTGGGTAATAATTGTGTTTTTACACTGATTGCTTCACAGACCCTGATTGCAGGATGGGATGAGCTGGAGTGCCACAGAGTGTTTGGCTTTCTTTGTGAACAAACAAACCTCCTGCTTAAGACCGAAGCTTTACTCACCACAAAACCAGGTGTGTTCCCTTCAGAGTGTGGAAAATCTGCCTATAAGTGATCAGTTATGTGGGATCAATGGAGAGGAAATCATCATGTAGGACTTCACCCTTCCACTATAAGCTGATGAGCCTCATCTCTAATGTGTGCAGAATATTTACTTTTACCTATATTTAAAAATAATCATAGGGCTATTATGGTTTGTTAATATGCATGGTTCACAAAAACTGCAATTTATTGCTCTTTAAGAGGAAAAACTCAATATAATACTTGAAAAAAAATCTCAAAACAATAATTTTATTATTTATCGCAGTAATTATTGGGACAATTGATCAGGACAGGCCTTAGCACAGACAAGTATTTGATTTTAATGTGACAAAATCTGAAGTTTCCTTTTAAAAAAATGTATTTGCTCTCAGGGCTGAAGCGATACCAGGAGCTGCAGCTTCGTCTGTTCTGCCGTAAAGTTCTGCTGGACCCATGCCAGAACCAGCCAGATGGACAGTTCTGGTTGGTTCAGCTGCTGAAGCCGTGGCCGCTGGTCAGCCAAGCCCACCTACTGTTCATCCTGTTTGGACCTTTGCTGCATGAGGGTGAGGTCACTTTTAGACAGCAGAGCGACTAAAAGTGTTTGGGTGCTGACATTTTCAGGACATGTCAGACTCTTTCACGCTCCTGAATGATTAAATGCTGTAAAATAATTTATCCACCCTGTGACAGATACTGAATCTGCTGCCATGAATATAATAAGTGCTAAAAACAATTAAAATATTTCCTAATTACTAATGGCTTAGTAAAAGAAATAGAAGATAAAACTATCTCCTCTGCGACTTTTAACTCAAGACGTAAAATCCTGACCTGGGCAGATGTTAGAAGGATGTTGTGGAAACGAGGAGAGCGACCGTTAACTGGTATGATCTGTGGGAGCTAATTTAACGAGGAGAGCGACCGTTAACGGGGAGCTAATTTAACTCCGGTAGCTGCCGAGTTAACCCACAGGAGAAACATTACGGATGAAGGTCGTCAGACCAGGTAAATCTCCTCCTGTGAATCCAGCTCAAACGTTCTGTGTGAACTGGAGCACTGACTCCATGCAGAGATAAATAATGTAAAGTTAAAAGGACATTTTGGTATTTTAAGGATGAAAATGACAATAATTCGTATATGTAACCCAAAAATAACAAAATCGGGCAAAAGAAAGTTTTTCCAAATCAGTTTCTTTCAATAAAAGGACTTATGAGACTTGAGCAAAAACTGCAGCTGTGTCTCTTTTTGGGTAAAGCATATTTGTTTTTCATTCAGTGGGCAGAAAACCCAGAAATTTTACTCAATAGAAATACTTTATAATAAAATTACTCAAGTCAAAATAAAAAGTACAGCGTAGTAAAAATGCTCCTAAAAGTACGTAAAAAAAAAAAGATACTCAGATGTAATTGAGTGAATGTAACTAGTTACTATCCAGCTCTGAATATATTTGGGTATTCTTTCTAATAGTTCTTCTAATTGTTTGCAATATGCCACAAATCACGAAACAGTTGTGTTTTTGTTATAACATTAGCGATATTCATAAAAAATACATTTAATTAAATAGGAAACACAATTAGTGAAGTAAATGTAACCAGTAAATACTAGCTCTGGTTGTTGGATAATGCAGCGTCACAGTGCAGAAGGTGAAGGTGTTCTGGTGGTTTCTGTGCCGTGTCATCCGGCCCGTCCGCCCTGCAGGTGTTCTGGGCTGGGAGGATCTGGTGGACCGGGGTCTGCCGCACAGCGCGCTGTGGGATCTGGCCAAGTGCATCCTGATGCTGTCCGGCACGCTGCAAGTCAAAGGCTGGAGCACCGACTCAGTGCTGTCAATCCTGGAGGAGCTCATTGGTATTTTATTTCACTGCTGATTTGAAATTAGACGGCGTTTCAGTGAAGGACCAGCTGGAAAACGCTGACGTGTTTGATTTGCAGTCATCCCCCAGCCGTGGTACTTGGAGAACGTGGCCCGCCTGCTGGTGCTGTGCGGCAGCAGCCTCTGCTACACCTTCCTGGCCAGCAAGGCCCTGAATGGACGACTGGACGAGATCTCCAGGATTATCATTCATATCATCCTGGTGAGAGCACAGAACCAGGACTGGTTCATCATCCGTTTGGTTCGGGACACCTCGCTGCGGTCTTTATTTGTCAGAAGTGTCTGTCCTCTGGCGAAGACAGGACAATGTCAGCCACGTTATTTCCACCCACTGGATATTTTCTCTTTCTGTAAACCTGAGAAAATGTACGTGAAAATTTAATATGTTTTTTTTTTACAGATTTTAAAATATTCAGACCTGCCAATCTGGAAGCAATGATTGGCTTATTATTGGTGTCTTAATTTTAGTGTAAATGTTCCTAACTTATCTTATGGATCATTTTATGACAAAGCAACAAAAGTCAAACAGAATAAACAAATTGTAACACAAAACATCTTTTTTCCCTGTCAAAAAGAAAATAATTTGATTCTCTAGTAACATAAACAAACAGTAACAAATTTTGTTTTTCCTTTAAGTTATTGTGTTGGACAATAATGTTGTTTTGAGACCATTTTCAGTAATAAGTTGATAATTGGATAATATTGCAAGTTTGCTCTCTCAAAGACTAATAACCTTTAACTTAACACTTGAACAGTAAAACATTTTAAATATCCTAATTAAAACACAACCACAAAATATATTTAAAATATAAAATAATATATACATTTTATATAGTTATGTAAAATATATATGTATGAAAAATCTAGATAAAAATGTATAGACATAAATATTTAAATCATAAAAAGTTATATAAAACTAACCCACACACAACCAAAACCAAAAATAAATATATTATGACATTTGTAAACAAAAATAATACAATATTAATCATTAAAATGGAAATAATGGAGCTCATTTTATTGATCCTGTGAATTAATCGATTGCTTATTGCGGCAGGCTTGTGTGTGCTGCCGAACAGGCGCTAATCGCTCCGCGTCCTGCTGTGTTCGCTCCTCTCCCGGCTCAGGTGTGCGAGAAGGACGGCTACCACATGAGCTGGGCCGTGAAGCTGGTTCAGCAGATCTGCAAGGTGTTCAGCTCGGCGCCGGAGAGGTTCACCTTCATCCAGCACCTGGAGAACATGTTCTCTGAAGTCACCAGAGAGTTCTACGAGTCCTCCGTGGCAGGTGGGTTAAAGCAGCTTAAACAGGAATATATTCCTACTTATATACCAGGAATGTTTTATATTCCTATATGTATGTAGGAATATTGAATATTACACCATTTACACCATTGTTCTAAGTCTAGATTTAGGATAAACAGAAATTTACTCATTATTTACTAAAATAAAATGAGAAAAGGTAGAGGAATTGTTTTTAAAAACTTGCTCAGGTGAGACTGTGTGTGTGTGTGTGTGTGTGTGTGTGTGTGTGTGTGTGTGAGCGCTCAGACAGATGACATTTAGCTTCACCTCCTATTTTGCATTATCTCAGTGAAAAGCCATTCAGCTCAGGTTGCACAAGAGCTTCATTTGTCTTTGCCTGGATCCAGCCTTTCTTTTCTGCTTCACTCATGCTAATTCCTAATGGTATAATTGGACGGCCACATTGAAATGGATTTATTCATGTGAATAAGTCAGCCATCTTTAAGCAGAGAAAGCTGATAATAAGGAAAAGTCAGAAAACAAGAGAGATCTAGTCTGCATATACCAGTAAAAAGAAAATAAAAAAGCAGGTTGTTGTAAACTTGAACTTCTACTGACTTTGCTTACAGATTTTTCAAAAATATTTTCTTTTCATTTCTTCTACATGGTGGGAGATGCAGTAATTTTGCCCCAGATAAAAGCTCCAACACGTCCTAAAAGCATTTAAAAATGTCCAAAACACAATTTTCTGTCTCCAGGGAACAACTTTGAAGACAGAGAGACTTTCCAGACCTTCTGCATCCTCCTGGACTCCAGCGCTCGCTTTCACACTAAACTGCTCCACATGTTTCTTAAATAAGAAGGATTTATAGAAGGCAAAATATGGAAACAAATGTCAATAATGAAGGGGTCGTCTAATTAAAAGAACTGCACTTCAAGCTGTTTAAATGCTTTTGTTAAACAGTTTTGTTATTTATTCAGCTATTAGTGTGTCGAAATTTTACATTGCAGTTCATAAGCTCTGTTGGAAGTGTTATTTTAAGAGTATTTAATATTTATTTGTTAGCATAAAAGGTTTTTTTTGCAGTGTATTTATTTAATTTATCCATCTACCTGTAATAAATATGAACATGTTATTTAATAAAATCATATTTTCTAATATTTTTTGTTGTTGGCTTGTTTTTATTTATATAAAAAACACTACATACACTGAGCAAATATTCTTTTTTAATTTCCAATTAGTGCATCATTCGACTTTAACAGCATCTTCAGAAAACAAAAATAAAAAAAATAGATAAAAGCTGGAATAGATTAAAAAAAGCTACTTCACCGCATGCAGAAAATAACCCAGATTATGTATAAATTCAGACTGCATGACACTCTGTAGTGACGTATAAGGAGTTGATGATTGGTGCTTCAAATAATCACTTGACTCAGATTACAGCGTTCATCTTTAACTTGAGTCTTTAAAAGTGCAGCTCAGAGAAAAAGTGCTCGACTATTTGACATTGAAGTTTAAGGCTTACAACATCAAGAGTGATGAACACCTGAAACGCCGAGTCAGATCCAGTTTGCACATCCCTGCGTCCCGATCACGCCTGGTCGTTCATCTGTTCATTGTTTTGATATGATCTGCAGGAGAAAAGGGGAAAAATGGCTGAACTTCAGTCTAATTGATCTACTGCCGGCTTGGGTTCACAAACACACTAAATGATCTACTTGTTCATTGACTTTCTCTACTTTCTCTATGTGCCTCAACCCATGTACTGAGGCCTTGGTCCTCGTGGCGGTGGTCACAGGTTCGATTCCTGGCCTGGTGACATTTGCTGCGTGTTTTACCCCTCTCTCATTGCCCTCTTAACCAAATTAATTAACCAAAGTAATTAACCAAATTACACACAGGACTCTGTTTATGAATTAAGAGACTTTAAATTTACACTAAAATGCAGAGCATCTGAGTAAATAGGGCTGAACACAAATGCACGCAACATTTAGTAAAAACAACATAAAACATTTGCACAAATACGTTTCTACTTGCACAAATATGCACAACTTTGTCTCTCACATAAAATCCCCCCGAAACATATTGAAGTTTGTAGTATTAATCTGGTTACTCTGTGATGTTTGATGTTGCAGCTGCATATAACACAAAAGCTTTTGTGTTAAATAGCTGAAGTGGACTCAAACTACCTAACACAGACAAAGACACCTACAGAAATGTACATCAAATTGACGAGCTTTAGCTCTTGGGTACTTACTGTGCAATTTGATCTGAGTTTAAAAGAAATAACAACAAAAAGAACAACTTATTGCCAGTTAGTTAAAGGGCTAAATGACAGACGGACTGTTCTGGCATTTCAGTTCTGAAACCAATTTTCTCCATTATCCCTGCATGATGATAAAAAGGGAAAATTACCTTGCAGCCAGTCCAGCCCTTCCTGCAAGCCTTCTCCTTTGATAGCATTGCTGGCACTGAAAAATAAAATGTGTAGCGGTTAAGTCGTTTATGGAGCATTCCCTTTCTCCAGCCTTTTTTTTCTTGGACCCTGACTGTTTAAAGCTGTCCAGCTCTTAATCCATTCGGCCTCCACCTGTCTAATGAGTAAACAAGGAGGAGGAAAACACATGTATGCAAGAGAGCCAAGCTGCTGAATAACTCCATGTGGCTCAGTCTCTCTGCAATGTTTAACCATGAATGAAGCAAAACTGGAAAGTCTGTCCCTGATTATGAACAGCAAGTAAACACGCTTTAGTTTCTGTGTTTATGGTGAGTAAGTTGGCTGCTTTCTCCTCCTTGTACAATAAAATTAACAATATAGCAGCTTTTCTGCTGATGACTCATCAAGCAGAGTAATTGATACTTTACCAGATGTGCCAGGGTTTGTCTTTGATGTTCTCCAAACACAACATTTGCGAGACCTTGACCGAAGACAGAGCGTCCCGCAGGTCTGTCTTGTTGGCGAAGAAGAGTACTGGGATCTTTTTGTTGCAGATATCTGGGAAGACAGATGTGAGGATAAGACACTAATTCTTCAGTCACATTATTGTGCATCTGCAGCCGAAGGAAAATGACCCTCCAGCAATACCTTTGGACCAAATTTGAGAGAGCAATGAAACAATTTGATTGCCATCTACCTACTTTATTTCATCTTACACTATGCGAATGCTCTGTCATGCTGATGAAAATTTATCGTTTGAAAGCATCAGGGCAGATTTAGAATTTTACTTTTTTCATCCCCAACTGAAAAAAGTTGATACTTAAAAATAGAAAAGAAATGAAACAAATACAAATGTTGCAGCAAAGATCAGGTCCTCTATCCTGACACAGCGAGACGCTGTGAGTTTCAAAGACTTGATCCGCATGTAGATGAACTGTACAAAACTGAAGCAGCACAAAGATGCACCTTTCTCCCATGTCACATTTGTATTTTTAATGACAAGATGAGAACCAGCATCACAGCACTCAATAAAGATTTTTAATAATTAAAGTTGGAAATCAAAATTCCAAGTCTGACTTGATCACAAACCCTATAAAATAATTGAAAGCAAAACTAAATGCAGTTAATTTGTAATAATGGAAAAATACATCTCAATAGACAAGCTTGGATTAAGTACACGTAAGCTTTTAGTTGTAAAATGTCCACATAGTGGCCATATTGGACACTTCTTAGACTAAAACGTCTATATTTATGAATTAGGTAAAAACATAAATGTATATTTATTGTACCTTCATGGTTGAGGAGATTATTGAGCTCCTCCTTTGCCACAACCATTCTCAGTTTGTCGCTGCTGTCAATGACGAATATGATTGCGTTGCTTTCTCTATTAAAAAACAATCACCAGCATAATAATTGATAACTTGCATGTAGAATATGCGAACATCGTCTATTTTTGTGCCCTACTTGTAATAATGCTCCCACAGGCTTCTGTATCTGCTTTGGCCTGACATGTCAAAGACTGTGAAGGACAGGCTGCATGCGGAAAGAAAAGCAGCATGAGTGACGTAACATCAGCCAGATTCTGAAATACTGAAATGCTTTTGTGTTTTACCTCGAGCTCTTGAACTTTTCAATGTTGAAGCCAATCGTTGGGACTATTTCTTGAGCCGCTGTCTACATACACACACATTTGCGCACACGCACAGACACATGCAGACACACAAATAAAGACAAGTAATAGCAAAAGTATGTCAACTATGAAACAAGGGGAGGTATGACGTGGGCTTTACCTGACTAACATGTTTCCACTCTTCTGACAATGGACCTAAATGATTTGGATGCTGAAAACGAATGATTGCAAAGAAATAATAATAATAGGCATCCAAATGTATACTTTAATGGATTTTAAGATAATTTATCAGCTAAGTAATTGTGTTTAGTCTCAAGACGAGGCTGAAGAATGAAACCAGCAGTCAGAATAACATCTCAGAACTTACATTAGATGGTTTGAGCTGGTTGATGATTGTCGTTTTGCCGCCGTTGTCCAGACCCAAGCACAAAACGTTGACTTCTTTCTTCCTTAGGCCAAGCCAGCCTGACAGTTTATCAAGCAGCCCCATTCCACTCGGCTTGATGCAACACCATGTAGATTTTCAACACATTACCCCATAGATGGCCCGATTCGATCAGGACCAGACGGGTTTGCAGATTTTCTCTAAAGCGAATGTTAATGATAAAACATAGGCTTCTCCAGCGCTCCTCCGCTCTCGCTGTGAATAGATGAGATGCTGCCTGGCCATCGCCAGCTTGTGGCAGGTAATCCTATTACGGTGAATTAAATCCAGTGAACCACCCGGTGGCCTGCTCGTGGAGTGTGGAGCTCTGCAGGCCCCCAATCCTGATGCATTTGATTTATTACACTGTAACACTCTGAAGGATCCCCCCCTTTAGCTGCTGGGGCCTGTTATAGAAACATGGCACCCAACAGAAGAAGATGCAGCTCTTTTCTTTCCTGCAACCACTGACTCGCATGTTGATTAAAAGAATTACTCATTTTCGGACAAACGTAGGTCTGACGTGTCACTTTTTTTTTTTTACAGCAGCAAATATGAAACTTTTCCATGGGATGTTTGAAACATGCATGTCCAACAGCTTCATTTTTTGGCTGTTACTAAGTAACAATAACTTGCAAAAACAACAGTACCTCTGTAACCTTTTCACATTTTGTCAAGCTACAACCACAAACTTTGAGTTAGCTTTTGGGGATTTTATGTGAGAAAACGCAAAGTAAAGCCTGACTTTGAGGTGGAAGGAAAAATAATCATGGTTTTCTCTTGGTTCACAGATAAAACCCTAAAATGCGTACATATTCAGCCTCTCTGCTTCTTTTAACAACCTGAAACATGGTGGTGGCAGCAACACGGTGGACAACTTTCTTCAGCGGGGAAACTGGAAACAGTTAATGGGAAAATTCATGGAGCAAAATGCCAGAGAATTATATAAAAGCTTTTAGAGGATGCAGAAGACTTGAGAAATGGTTGAGATCAATAGATTTTAACGTGATGATCACATGATCATTTCTTTAAAATGAAGAATTTCAGTCATTGGATCTGAAATATTTGTAAAGACACAGCCAGAAAAAACGACAAATGTAATAAATATTTATCAATTTTCTTCCACTTCACATTACTTTATGTTGGTCTTCCACATAATTCTGATATTACTCTCTAGTACGGTGTCATAATGTGACAAAATTTCCTTGGTTTTGGTTTAAGCGCTATATATTCACTGAAAGATTTACTGAAACACGATTTTCCATCTTCTAAGTCGACTTTGACAAAAATATTTACCACCCTCTCACCTGGAAATACAACAAAATCCCCTGAGCAGCCAGCCATCAGAACCGTTCATCTTTATTTGCAAATAAATATCCGCTGTAACTGCCTCTTACAGTGTGCAAGATCTACAACATCTCTTTGGAAATGATAGAAAAATAAAATACAAGAATTATAATAAGTATACTTGTACTTTGTACAAAAGAACGTTCTAACATTGCTCAGCAGTAGAACATGCTAAACAAACAGCATCTGATAATCTCAGAAGTCATGTAGAGGGGTGAGTGTGTGTGTGTGTGTGTGTGTGCATGACCGACCTCGCTGTGACCCAAAAGGCACACATCTCCAGATCCAGTTGGGTTTAATCTGTGAGTTATAAAAGCTGCAGATAATTAATGTCATACAATTCAAAGAAAAACAAAACAAAACTAGGTCCTGTGACTGCACTTGTGAGCTTCTATAAAGACTTTCTGGCTTGCATGGCTAACAGACTGTAAGGCATTCTGTGTGTGTTTGTGTGTTCCTGCTCATGCTAAAATGACACAAGATGAATTATGATGCTGCTGCTTATGTTGCGCACCTCTCTTTCTCCTTGGCCAAACAATCGTAATATTAGTTATTCTCTGCCAACATATCTATTCCCTCTTCATATCAGACTAAGCTTACTGCCACAATTGCTACAATCTTCACATGACCACAAAGTAAGCACAAGCATTTGTTTAAATCTACCAGAAATTGTCTCCGTCTCCTCCGTCCTCACAAGCCGAGTTAGTTGTAGAACTCAAATCAAAAGTGGGGAATTTTGTAGGTTTTTGGCTGTGTTTGAGTGTGTGTGTTGAGGCAAAACGACATGATGCGACAGGAAGAACCGTGTGAGTCCGCGTTAGCTCTCCAGATGAAGAAAAGCAACTGGAAATATCTAAATTCTGTGAACATTCATATAGTAAGACAGTGGAGTTTGTGGAGTTTTTCAGGCAATGTTTAACATTCACAATCAAAAGCGAAACAAAACCAAGTAAAGTTGATCACACGACTGTGTCTACACTGGTTGCTAAAAACCGTCAGACCTGCAGGGTGATTTTTCTGCAAGACATTAGGAACCGGTGGAAGTCTGTCGTTTCATGATTCATCTCCCACAGAGATGCTGAGGTGACTGCATAAGACTGTATTGCTGATTTAGATAAAAAAAAAAAAATCTTTTAAATAAATAAAACATTTAAATAAGTTCCAGATTTACTAGGGCTTTCACATACACGACTGCACATATATTGATATTAGGTTATAATAATAATTAACTGTCTATACACTTTTAAACATTCAGTAAATCTCTATAACGTACTTTTCACGTCTTCCTTCAAGTATTAGTGTACCAGATTCTCTGGACATCAGGTAACTAAAACAATCCAAATAAACCTTTATATTAAATAAACTAAACTAAAAAATACTGAGGTTATTTCTCTTTTAAAAAGGACAAAAACAGATAGATTGCACACCCGATAGCAGCTACATGAGCAAGAAAAAGAAAACAAAGTCCAAAGATTTGGTAGATTACATTTGCAAATCTACATTTCTAGTATTGTTGCTCCACACACAAAAAGTACGGCTGTTGCAACAAGGCATTACATTCCCCTAAGTGAGGGCCTGGGCCAGTCTGTGGAGTCAATCAGGCTGGAGTAGTCTGGCAGAACCAGGTGTACGACGTGAGGGGTTTTCAGTAGAAAAAAAGTCCAAAGGGAAGAGTAGGAGACCAGGGAGATTTACGCTGGAATAGTCCTTTCAATGACGTCCTGCATGAGATGAGGACTCGACACTCAGGCACAGGCTGTAGACCGTCCCTTGGCTGGGTTAGACTTCACTTCCTCCTGTCTCGACTACCTGTCCGTCCCAGGCTGCAACAAAAACGGGCGTCCTCATACATGGAAGCCCTTCTCCTGTTCGTGCAGCAGCTGAAACTGAAGGGTCTGTATGCTGCTGATGATCCGCCTCTGGTGGCCGATCAGCTCCACTCCAATACGCCTCACATCTCTAGGCCAAGACGGGGAACACAAACGGAAGAAACAAACAGAGAGACACTTCAACTATGATGGCATGTTTGTTTGGATTTATCTACAGCAGTTTTCCTAAACTTCTTCAGGCTTAGGACCATTTAACTCATCTAACAAACACTGATGGACCACCTAAAACATCATCTTAATACATACAACCGGAAATGAAAATATCAGTCTCTTAATAGACTTATTGTTTTCTTTCTTCAATCTAAGGAGAACCATACTCTGTACTCGGGGCGTTTTTGAGTTATTTACATATTCCAATCATGTCAAACACATGGAAATAAAAATGATACGTTGTACTACCAAGTGTTGTGAGTATTAATAACAATTTAGGGCTATTTGTAATTGGAAGCACAATAAAAGAAAAATAGACTTGAGTTGCTTTGGGAGAAACAAAAATCCTCTTCTGCACCATTAAATATAACAATGATGCACCCATTGTTTTCAATTGTATTTATCTGCTGTATTTAATTAATTTAATTTAATCATTTTTAATTAAATAACAATAATAGCCGCTGGCGTGTGAGCAGAGAATCACAAACAAGCAAAGCCCTAAAAGACAAAGAACAGTTCTTACTGCGACTTAAGTCTTACCGGAATAGAGCCGTTCAAAAGAATCGAAAAACATCAATACTCTCAGCTTGGGTTCCTCTAATCATATAATAGTCCTGTCTTTGTTTTGTTTTCACCAGTATCTCCAGTTTTTCTTTTAAGAAACTTATCCATTATTATTTTTAAACACAATTTTTCGGTAAGCTAGCTGGGCGCGTCGCACTTTGAGCTGACGTCACGGCACATAAACGGTCGTTTTCCTGCAGTACCTAGGGGACCACTGGGGGGCGCCAACGGACCACAGTTTGAGAAAGACTGATCGACAGAACAATGTCAGCTGTTTAGCCTCATAAAAAGTAGTGCCAACTTCAAATACCCACAGAGGCTTGCAAAAGTACTCATACCGCATGAAGTGTCGAAGAGTAGGAGCTTCTAAAAGAGACTGTCTGTCCACATCAGTTCTCAAGTTCCACCAACACTCAATAAAATTTAGGTGTGGACTTTGACTGGGCCTTTCCAACACATAAATATGCTTTGATCTAAATCTGTCCATTGAAGCTCTGGTCATATATTAACTGTTGATGGGATATTAAAAGGTGAACCTCTGTCTTTGTCTCAGAATTATTCACACTAACAGGTTTTCTCTCTGGACTGCTCTATAGTTAGCTTCATCTCTCTTTCCATTAACTCTGAGCAGCTCAGCTGTCCCTTTTGGGGAAGAGCATCCCCTCATTTGTGCAGCTGATGTAGCATCACGCAGAGCAAAGGCCATGTCCCTTACAGAGCTCGTGGCAAACTTGTGAATTGACCTCCTTATGGCTTCCTTTTAACAACAATTTTCTGCTTGCTACTCTTCTATAAAGGCCAGATTTGTGGAGTGCACAACTAGTTGTCCATCCATCCATTAACTAGGCTGATGCTTGTAGCGGCCATTCGGTGGGAGTCAGAGTACACCCTGGACAGGTTGCCAGTCCATCACAGGGCAACACAGAGACACACAAAAACACAGACCCCAGGTGTCCTGTTGACGTATTCTCCCATCTTTAATTGTGATTTCTGCAGCTCTCCCAGAGTTACCATGGGTCTCTTAACTGATTCTCTCAACGGTCACCTACTATACTTCCTTAAACTGGTTAGGATACAAAACATTTTTTTGTACAAAATCATTTTTAGGCATTAGGATTTTAATCAGCTACTTTGAGCTGTTTTAGAGCCTCTTGTCACTTTAAATCCAAATAAGCTGCTGCTGGAAACTCAGTGTTTACACTCCCACGTGAAAATGGCTGCAGATAGATGTGCAATTATAAAACTGTACATCTTTGAAAAGCAGAAGTAGAGCCTCCTGCACAACCAACAAGAATGCGGCAATTAGTTTCTGGATGGTAAGTCAACAACAAAACACTTCTCTTTCCTAGCAGCCATTGTACATGCCAGAGTTCCGCTTGGGTTGCTAGGTGACGACTAGCTGGGCTTTGCTGGGGTTGCTAGGTGACGAGCTCCGCTTCGCTGAGGGGCAGTGCCTGCTGTTTGTGACTTAACAATTTAGAGGTTTCTACACTTGGTAGCCGTACTCTTTATTAGTCATTTAATTGCTCTGAGTTTTATTGCGGATTATCAGAGTTTATTATCCGAGTATCATTTTTTCTTCCACAGATAAATTACTTTCTATGGGTTCGTTGCACAATATCCCAATAAAAAAGTTCATGTTTGTTGTTTTAAGGTGACAAAATTTAAAAGATCTCAAGGGAAATCAACAATAAATCAACAGTTTGGCAAGGCAATATAAACCCCACTCAATAAGAGATTACCCAATACAGGTTTATTTACACAGAGCAAAAGCAGTCAGGGTATCCCCATCTGTGCTTTTGATTTTATGCTTTTCTTCCTGTCATTAGGTAAAGATTTTTTTAAAGCACTTTGACTCACTCAATACTCATCCTCGCCACAGAATCCAATGTGTTGAAGCCTGCTGCCATAAAATTGCTTTTGTACTGAGTCATCTTTATAGAATCCAGCCAGTCGCCAACAGAGATGAACATTGGGTAATCCATGTCCTCCGCCGGGGATTCTGGTAGACTGATATGAGGAAAAAAAACCCAGAAGATTAGTTAATGTTAGATCATGCATGAATTCAGACCACAGATAGGAGAATGTGAAAACCAGCAGAAACGACACAAAGCTTTCTACCTGAAACCACAAATCCTCCCCTCATATTTTGCCCAGAGGGGAAAGTACTTTCAGAGATAGAAAAACCTTCCCTGAACACATCCTTTTAAAGTAAGCCGATTTTCTTTTAATGTTTCACCAGAACGTCTGCGGTTCTGTACCTCTGGAGGTCCTCTACCAGCGGCAGCAGGCTGCTGGGGTTACGAATTAGTTTATCCAGGAAGGAAACGATATCCACGAACTTCGGTCGATGATTCCTCTCTTTCTGCCAGCAGTGCAGCATCAGCTGGTGCAGGGCCACAGGGCAGCCCATCGGTGCCGGCAGCCGATAGCCCTCTTCAATGGACAGAATCACCTGGAGAAATAATTGGGTGTGATAAAAGGGTTAACGTGAGAAAAGGCCACTTTGTAAGAATTGACTTAGCTAAAGAAATCGATATGTTAGGTCGAAAAGTTGGAGTTCTCTCAGAGGGAGGTTTTTGTTTGGCTTCTGTACTCAGATCATGTTCTGGAGAACAGATTCTTCTGCTGCTTCACTCTTTCTGCAAGGCCCAAGGATGCTGCTTTCTATCTACTAATTATTTACAGCATCTTTACTCAATTTATGTTCAGTTTAATCTCTGACATAGCATTGACAAAGTATCAAATTAACGACTATTTATCAAGAAATCAGTCAAAGAGATTCATTCTTTACCTATCAAGGTTAAATCTTAAGAGGAATGAATTAAGAGATGGTTTTATTTTTATTTACATTAAGACTTATTCATGATCAATCAGGCAAATAACACACATTACATTAATTATTCCACAGTTTCTTTTCCATTCTTACTGCTCCAAACAAAGAGAAAATAGTTTTCTGAATAAGAAATTACCCCTAAAAGGAGAACCAGAGAGCCAAACATCAGCTGGAAGAAAAGGCTGCTTATTTTCTGGAACCAATCACGTTCTGTCACTTTCATCTCTCTGTCTCTTGACTGGATGGACTGTCAGCCTTTTGACTCCAGCAGCAGTTCTGTTTGACCCGGGGTCACGTTGAGAAAAAAGCCAGGCAGTTGTGCCATCTAACCCGGGTCTTTGATCGTTCACTTTCTTTGAATTTTGAACAAAAATAATAACAGGATACAAAAGAAACTCACTGGTCAAGGTGAAGCTGGTCTTAGATAAGGATAAAAGCAGCAGCATTTTCATCATTTCACTTTCAATATATATGTACTTTTTTCTTTTCTTTCAGTAAAAATGTGTGAAGTAAGACACATAAAAGAAAGAGAAAAGGATCAAATAAGTTTATACTTCTGCCTAACTTCTTTTCAGACAAATAGTTATTTAATCATAACCATGTGAATGTAAATGTTTTAAATAAATAAACCAAACTAAGCTTCCATGAATATCCAGAACACACTGATATATTCGGAAAGTAGGGCTGCAACTAGCGATTACTTTTCTAATTGATTAATCTATCAATTACGCTGACGATTAATATATTAATATGATCAAAAAACACTACATGCCACCGATTTTTCACTTAACCAGTTTAGCTTATTATACATAATATTGGAAATATTAAAAGATTCAAATAGACAAATAGTTTAATTCCTATTGTATATAAGAAAATAAAGATTTTATTGACTAAAAAGCAATAACACAGCACTGATTTTAGTAAATCTGAACTGTGTGAAGCCAACATTGTGCCAGTTCAGGAGTTTTGGCCGAAATCTATCTACAAACAAAGGTGTTTCCATCTTTAAATGCAAAATGTACATTTTTTTGTACAGTTTTGGGTGAATTACTGCTCTGAATATTTAGTTCTTTCAGCAATTGATATTTTATTTTGTTCTATACCCTGCAGTTAAAAATTAATTAATTACACATAAAACAACCACTTTTAATAACAGACAGCAGTCTGAAAAAAACAAACAAACTAATTTTGATTTGTTTTTATGGTTACAGTCAACAAAGAGATGCAAAGGCACTGAAGGAAACGTTTAAAAGTGTGTGAAAGATGTCTTTCCAGATTTATATTGGTGATTATATCTTCATTGTCCCTCGTTTTGTTGCTGTGCTCGAACTGCTCCATCAATCAATTCCCACATGTCCTTCTCAGCGTAAATCCTTGTATTATCACAGAAGATAACATGCTGTAACCTCCATATGTCATCTCTCAGATTCTCTACAAGGCAGTCGGCTATCTGCATGCATCTTCCAGCGGTGCAGCGATAAGTGGCTGACCAGGAGGAGATAGCGTTCGGCTGGTTTTGTGCCTTGGCTGGCCTTTTTGCCTTGGAAAGCACTTCTAAGCAATTCCCAAACAGCACAAATCCCTCCCAAACCCTGGGATCTCATGTGTGTGTATGCGGGGCATTTTCGTATAGACGTGCATGAGTCTGTGTGTAAAGGGTCAAAGGGATTAGGTTGGAGCTTTCACACTCAGCGGAGAGAAGGATGAATCTGCCTCCACCGTGGTCCCTCCAATCCCTGACCGCAGCCTGGGGATCAGTGGGTTTCTCAGCCACACTGATCCGCAGCTTTAAACTGGACGCTCTGAAGTCCTCGGAATCTCTGACCTCTACTGAACTTCCATTCTCTCTTCGTCATCTTTTTCTATCCGTTTGGATGTATTTCTGCTCCTAAACTCCTGGCTTTTAGAGGTAGGTTTTTCAGCTGTTGCAGAGTAGCGTAAAGGGCAACAACTTTTATGTCTAAAAATGAAAACAAAGTCTTCATTTGAGCAATGCGTGCTCACAGAGGTCGGCAAAGATTGAAATGAACAAGACATAACATCTCGAACAGGTTTTTATGGATTCCTCGTACACTGCTTTAAATCAAAGTGAGGATTATTAAACTTTAAACTCTAGTTACTTTAAGGTGACCTGTTATGCTTCTTTGAACAGTTTAGGATGGGTCTGCTGGCCATACAAAATGTGTTCATTATATTTTTTATGCACAAAATCCTTCTTAAATGATTAGATTTTAGTTTAAGTTCTGCCTATTTTGAGCACCTTCTTCTTGTCACTTTAATCCAAATAAGCTGCTCCAATCACGCCCTCCCAACTCAAAGTTTACAATGACAGAACCCAACAACAATAAAACGAGTGGATTCTCAATGGTAAGTCCACAACAAAACACGTGTTTTTTCCAAGCAGTAAAATCAGTTGACCAAACTACAGTTCTGCTTGGGTTGCTAGGTAACAGGGTCAAGCCTGGCTGGGGTTGCTAGGTAACGGCGCAGTGCCTACTGAATGTGACTTAACAGTAAGGAGGTTTTTGAAATGGCTCATTTTCCAAGTTGCCAAAAAACACTAACCTATTGCCAAAAAGTGTCTGTGTCTTCAAACGCTAACGTTGTTTTTAAAAGCAGTTGAGACCCAAATGGAAACACAAAAATGCTGGTTTAATATTTGATCTTGAAAATTAGACACACACTATAAAAACAATGTAAATTGTTTCTTATAAACTTTTTAGCACCTAGGTTCTTCAGTATGGAACGCAATACTCACATCCTGATTGGACATCTCCCAGTAGGGCCGCTCTCCGTAAGACATCACCTCCCACATGACTATGCCGTAACTCCACGCATCGCTGGCCGAGGAAAACTTTCTGTATGCAATGGCCTCTGGAGCCGTCCATCGGATCGGGATCTTACCCCCCTGTAGATAAAACCATAAGATAAAGAATAATATCATCATTTAATAATAATCACTTATAAGTAGGGGTGTGCCACACCAATCTGTGGGGTCTAAATATTTGGCATTTTTAATCAGGATTGATCTGATACCTGTTGCTGGTGAATTTTCTGTAATCATGTCAGCCATTAATGCATTTTAAGTAGCCAATTCTTCACAAACACAGACTGTTTGTGAAGAACACTCTGTTCTTCACAAACAGTGCCAGCTTTGGCACTTTTTTCAGTTTTACCCAATAAATGTGACCTTTCCAAGATCAATTTAATCAATTTAACAATTTCAAAATGAAAGTCAAACTGAACAGGGCAAAACTTTTCATTTTTGACATTCAAAACAAAGTGCTTTGTCTAAACGTTAGCAAACATGCTAATTTTAGCCTAAAAAAAAAATCAGCAAATTGCTGGAGATAGTCAATAACTTTTTCTTCTTTTTGTGTGGTTTTTATGTCAAGTAGGTTCCATATTAAAAAATGTATGATATTTCCCCTCAGGTCTGATTACAAGAGTTTCTTTCATTTTATTGTAAAAAAAAAAACAAAAAAAACAACAACAAAAAAAACCTTTGCGCCAGTGGCACAAGTTCTTGTTTTAGATAATCTCTCTTTAGCAGTTTTATTTGCAGCGTAAATATTCACATAATTAGTACTTTTACTAAATGTCCCTAAAAAAGATGACACAAACCAAAATGTACTAAATTATATAGATATTATTGCTACTTTGAGTTTGTCACTACAATGAATAATGATTTCCACTACACTTTTCCCCCCCAAATTCTACCGTCAAATATTCAGTTTAAATCTTCAGAGCATCTCAGCTATCCCAATTTTTGTTAATATTTGGAATCTTTGTGAAATGAATCCAACTAAATTTCAAGTGTTCACACAGATAATAAACAGAAACACACCGATTAAAAATAAAACAAGGACAGAGCTTGAGCTTTAGTTTGAGAAGGATTTGAAATCCCACTTTAACATAGCCTCATTAAACACATAGGAAGAAACTGCAAAGGTTTAAAAGATCCTGAATGGCTCTTTGGTAGCTGTGAGTCGTTTTAATGTTATTACCTGCAGTAAAGTTCTCACTTCTGAAGAGCATTTACAGCAAAATTTTTCTCATGACATTTTATTTCCAAATCACTAGATATATTCCTTTTAAACCTTCACTTCAAAAGGTTGTTTCCACATCGGTGTGCACACCTAACTGTAGGATTCATGTTATTATTCCAAAGTGAAAAGGCCTAAGCACAAAGGCTGGAAATTGAAAACTGAAACCTTTGAAATGGACCACATCCTGCGAGTTTTTAAAGCACACTTGGGCACAAATCAGGCCATTTAAAAATACTAAACCAATCACTTTTGACACTGCTGTCCAAAAAGCCCCATATTCTGAAGATTTTGCTTTGGCCTGAGATTTTATCCTGTCTTTACCTTCGCCTTTCATTTCCCCTCTCTGGAGTTTAACCACTGACTTGTGGAACAGAGAGTTCAACTCTGAGCCATAAACACACCATTTCCTTCATACAAAAACCTCAATACAACCAGGAGATGGGAGTCGACACCAAGCTCTGGGACATATATAAAACACAATCTTTTCAGAAAAGGAGTCCTGGAAACCAACTTTTAAAGAATAAATGCCAACGTGTGATCATCTTGTAGTGAAGGACGCATCACTTTGCTTCTTCTAACAATTTGTCCTTCAGTGGAGTCATCATTTTGAATCTTACTTCATATTTCATCAAATTATGTCATATACAAAACTAGTAAAACTGGTCATACTACTTATGAAATGGTGAGAAACTTTTCTGATTAAAAATACATTACATATCTATTTTCAAGTTCTTATACCTGTCAGCACTGAAAGGTAAATCCAGCTAAATAATGCGATTCTGATATAAGGGAAAACAAAAATAAATGCACACTGCATTTAGAGGATTAACTCTAGTTTAAGGTGAAATCTGTTTTAGTTGGATTAAAACAGAAGTTATATCCCTGGAATAACCTGAAGACGAGAGTAAAATCCTCATTCACGATGTGAGTTGCTGCAATACGCAAACGTCTCATCGTGTTTCCTGTGTCTGGAGTCAGGCGTACCGTTGTGGTGTACGCAGCCTCCGGGTCGTCCTCCAGCACCCGGGACAGGCCGAAGTCTGACACTTTGCACACCAGATTGCTGTTGACCAGGATGTTTCTGGCTGCCAGGTCTCGGTGAACGTAGCCCATGTCTGACAGATACTTCATGCCCGCGGCGATGCCACGCAGCATGCCGACCAGCTGGATGACTGTGAAGTGACCGTCGTGTTGCTGCCACACAAAACGGGAAACATTGAGAATTAACTAACATTTGGTTATGTTACAACAACAGACTTCAACGGGCTTTATTGGGATTTTAAGTAACGGTGCGCAACTCTGGAGTGGAAGAAAACAGAATACTTTTAAGGGTTTTTTCCACAAATAAATTTGTCTTTTATTTATGTTTCTACCATGTTTGCGTATTTGCAAGCATTTTGACACATTCTCCTTTGCTAAAAGGCTTGTAAGATTGAATGTAAACAATTTATGAGCAGCACTTCTTAATTCAATTTATATCTAGACAGTGGCTGGGTTTTATTTAACTGAAAAATCCAGTTTATCAGTAAAAGCTGGATTTTAATTTTTTTTTTTAAAAGTCAGACCTCTTCACTGATTTTATCCCCCTATGCTCTGATAAAAGAGGCTCCCTTTAGTATATTCAATGTGTCTGAATAGAAATGCACATCACACTGCTTAGATTTCTAATTGTACCATTTTTTGAAAATCATGTAGCAATTTTCTTCCGCTTCAAAATTCTGCACAGAAAATTCCAGCAAGACTCAAAGGCTTGTGTGTGCATCAAGACAAAATGTAGAACTAAAGTGTGCATGAGCAATTTTTCAATGGGATTTTTTTTTACACCAACAAAATGTGTTGGAAGAAAGAAAGTGGGATGTTCAGAATTATGTTAGCAATAAAATGACATGACAATATGCTCTCAGCAAATATGCTCCATTATTCATAAGTCATAAAAGTATCTGCATCCAAGGTATAACCATGATGCTGGCACGACGATAGGCCCACGGCACTAAAATATATTTATGGTTAAGGCCATGCTCATGAGGACATAATCATAACGGCGTAATATGTTGAACACTCACTCTAAGAAACGAGTCCAGCGACCCATTTTCCATGTACTCTACTACGATCATCACAGGCCTGCCTGCAAACACACAACAACAACACACATCGTTTTCATCCAAATAAATTGATTTTTTTTTTATTCCTTTGCTATTAACCAAGGATGGAGTGGTGAGCAACAAACTATGTCAAAATAAGACTTACAAATAAATCTCAACAGTGATCTAGTTTTAGCATTCATGTTTGAGACCCAGTAGGTTTTAACATTCATGGACTAATATCCCACTGGAAAATAAGGCACTCAAGAAAAAATAGTTTAAATCTGAGTGGGGGTAGATTGGTACATCAAGCAAACATGGTTTTTCTTTTAAAATATTCAGCAAGCAACATGAGACCTGATCAATACTTAGTCCATGTGTGACACAAAACTGTTGTAAACGAGCAAAAATGAGCCGATTTGAACAGAGGATCCCAGTGGTGTGAGTTACTGGAAGGAAACTGTCCAAATTTGTTTGGTGATAAGGAGAAACTAACCTGTAAGAAAATAGAAATAACAGTTTGTTTCTGAGGCAGAGGTGGGCAGAGTACCCAAAACTGCACTCAAGTAAAAGCAAAAATTAGCCAGGAATTACTCAAGAAAGAGTCAACAAGTTTTTGGTAAAAAGTTTACAGAAGTACTGAGTAACTGATCAAATTATCAATCATTTAATATTTACAAATTACATCATCAGACGGACCAAAATATAAAGTTAAGTGGAAAATGTGGTATCTTTAGGACCAAAATAACAATAATTCATAAAAGTAACAATTTTTTATTTTTCTTTCCCAAATCAGTTTCTTTCAATGTAAAACTGATGAAACTTTAACCAAAGCTGCAGGTGTGTGTCTGTGACTGGTGAATGTTTGGTTAAAACATGTCTGTTTTTCATTCAGTGAATGTAAGAGTAGCGATACGTCATGATAAAATTACTAAAGTAAAAGTAAAAAGTACAGCGTAGTAAAACACTCCTAAAAGTAAATGTGATTAACTAGGAACTACCCACCTCTGCTCTGAAGTGATTGTCTCAACTCTTCCATTTAATTTTGTTTAATATGGAATACTGAGATCTCAAAGCATGATCTAAAAAATGTCAAATTTGATTGATTGGTTTATAAAATAATGGAAAATGTGTTGAAAAAGCTCCTTTTTCAACACATTTTTTTTTACACAAGAAATAAAGAGTCTGAGTTAAAATGAAAAAGTTGGTGTCAAGTTTTCCAGACCAAGAAGTAAGATTATAAATTACTAACAATATTCATTCATTCATTCATTCATTCATTATTTACGACTGTGTAGTTCAGCAAATGTAAAAATGACAAAGAGATACACAACGTAGGAAAATGTAAATATTTCTTGTGCTGGGTGATCAAAAATGGAGGAAATCTAATATCAAATTAAGTCTCCCTAATGATGAACACTGTATATAATACGTCAAAAGTCATGACAATAAAATATCTGCTATAATTTATGTGTTCAGTTGAAACTACTGTTAATGGCCGGAGGCATTCTGAGAAGATGCTACTTTACATATTCAGTTTGCACAATAATCCATCCAGAGCAGTAATGTTTAATCCAAAATAAATTTAAAAATTCAATTTACCCAGTTTGTGGATCTTTGATTTGCGACTGCTATTAAGCAAGATTAATGAATGGAAAATTTACCGGGCAGATAAAGTTTCCAGATAATGTAAAAGCAACATCTCTCAACCACTCAATCACATTAAATATTTAAGAAGGCAGCAGAGTGTGGGGAGCATCTCTTCTCATCTTACTCCAGTTACATTGTTCTGTTTGGGTTTAAAGAAGGACAATCTTTGGATATCTTAATAGAGCTGATTCCCATCTGCTATAAAGTTTCCAAAAACTCAGATTCTGGTATGAACTTAACAGTAACTAATGTTACTTTATTTTCTACCAATGAACTTTAAACTATTTTCCGGACTATAGAGCGCACCATACTTATAAGCCGCAGCTACAAATAAAAAACAAAAACAAAAAACAAACAAACAAACAAACAAAACAAAAACAAAACTGGAAACGTACATAGATAAGCGCTTATAAGCCGCTGGTGTGCCCGCCACTCTCGGTTTTCCATAACTACCCAGCAGAGGGCAGCAGAGGGCTGCGTCCTAATAAATCTGCTGGATTTATTAAGGACGCGTTCCTCCGTCTCCAACGCCGAACCATGGATTCATTCATGCCGAGTTAACGTGCAGCGGCTCTATTTCCAGATCAACAGGTTTCAACTTAGAAGCTGTATCATATGAGTTTGAAGACATTTCTCTGTCGTGCCTGCTGCTAGCATGTGCTTGCTCTAAATGAAAATTAGCACGTTCTTCTTTGATTTCCAATTTTGACTTCCAATGATTCACTTTCTGCTAAAGAGCCCCCTGGTGGTTGAAGAAAAATCAATAGAAAAGCCGCACCAGGTTATAAGCCGCAAGGTTCAAAGTGTAGGACAAAAGTAGCGGCTTATAGTCCGAAAAATATGGTTTTACCTTGCCTTACTAATGCTTATTTATGTCTATATCTATGTTCACATTGATCTTATAATTTTTAAAAGGTGTTTAAAATTATGTTAACTCGCCATGAATTCATTCAAAAAAAGTTTTGGACTTCAAAACCTCAGACTTCTTTAATATTTAATAAAATGCAGGTGAGAACTGAGGGTAGCACTAGAAAATGCCAGACAGGCCAACATAACTATGGCATCTCTGACTAACAAAAAAGCTTTTTATAATGAAACAAGTGCCCGTTTCCAAAGCAGATGGTGGAAGGATGGGCTTTTGAACAGCAACTTGTTTTTTTTTGTTCAAGCAAACTGCCAATGACACATCCCTTACTGCTTCTTCCAACTCAAGTTGGCTGCGTAACTTGCCATTATTTTCTCTGGAAAGGACTAATTTAATGTTGTGCATTTTGTGTGATGAGGTAATCCCTTAAAGTGAGTTCTTGTCAGCGGGGAAAACATCTTAGATTTTTTATTTGAACATAAATGAAAGCAAAATAGGTCCCACACCTGTCGGAGGATGACACAGTTGTGAGCCTGGACGGTTGGGAAGTACGCGGTTCTGTCGTAAAATCGTAACTTCCCTGAAACATAAGAGTCCTTTTTTTGCTTTTTTTTTTATTTGCAGTATCATATCAACACCTCCCTAAATTTGTTGATGCTCTCTCGTCACACAAATCCAGCTGGGACAGAAAGGAAATTATTCGATCAAGCTTAGCTTTTCCTGTGCTAATTAGGAAGATCTGGAACCAATATATAGCTACGCAGCACAGCGCCTGAACAAAAACAAACGCACCTGTTTACCACAATCTAATGTGTCACCTGTTTTTTTTTTCATGGCAGGTATGGCAGTCAGTCACAGCACAATAGTCTCCATAATTAGTCTCCAAAGAACAACAACAGATGGAGGAAGTGATAGAGAATGAAGAAAAGACAAACCAGGCAGACAGGCTGACAGGGAGAATTTACCCAAAATAAATGCAGTGTGATGCCCCACTGACAAACACAAAAGGCTTTTGATTGCATGATTTGATGTGCATATTGTAACCGTGAGTGGAAATCCCACAGACAGTTTTGGGAATCAGGTTGCTCCTCTTACACTCCTCCCCCTCTCCGCACAGATGAAGGTTATAAATCTTTAAAATAAAATACATCCTCCTTAATGACAGTAGTGGGGCTACGCTTTAAGGCACTGATGGATTTATCATAATGTTCCCGCAGTTTTTAAAATAAACGAGCATATAAACTCCCCCAGGCTACTCTTCAAGAAAAGTTATTAATATTCCAAGAGGTTCAATAAAAAGCAGAACAAAATAAAAATGTGGTTTCAGAGTAAACGCTGCCTATAACTGTAATTTAAACAATTATAAAACGATGATGTGCTGTTTTCCACTGTCCCATAAGCTGCATTCTTCACATAAAACACTTTAATCCAGGAAACTAAAGTGATAAAAGTATCGTTCATATGTTATTACATTATGCTGAAGCATATCTTAATTCTAGGTTGATGTTTTCTACCATCATTTAGGGAAATCATGTCCTGACTGCCAGACAAAAACATCTAGTTTATTAAATTTAATCTGTATCCTAAAATCAAAACAGCTACAAACTTACTATTTAATCACAATATTTTATGGTATTTGTTGTGATAATAGAAAGTATTTAAAATATATTTCCATCTTTTTAGGTAATTGTGCAACTATGACTTGATTGACAGACAATTTACCACGTTCACAATTTCTAATCATGATATGACATTTTTATGATACAATAAATATCAATACATAGTAGAGAAACATTCGCTGAGCACAATCAGTCCAGAAAAAGTTGCAGAGCACTTTCTAAGGGTAAGAACTATTATGAACAAAAGGGGAGAAAAAAACATGGAACAACGACTGACTGTACAAAAATGACTCAAAAACTTGTCTATTAAATCTCCAGTGAAGTCAAAACTTAAAGTTCGGTATCAATTATTCAACAATAAGAAAGAGAGACAGAGAAACAAAAACAACAAACCGTCCTGCCTCATGTTCACCAAACAAAACAAAAAAACATCTTGATTATATTCAAACTTGCAGGAAAATATCCTGTGAACTGAGGAGAAAATGTTCAGGTTTTTTTAAACTGAATCATGACCTTTCAGGAAATTGCCGAACTTTACAAGTCTAATAAAGTTGTTAAAGATTTAAGCGTCAACCTTCAGCATATGTCTTTCACCATAATAATCACATTATATAATTGTATTGCCGCGTGGAGGGATTTTTCCCCCCCACTGAGTCCATTCAAGATAATAGATCATCAAAAGCACATTGAAGTCTATTGTTGGAATATCAGCAACGAGCCACTCTAATTTAATATCGGCAATCTTTGGCTTTGCAAGCCTTTATCAGCGGAGTCTTCATCAGCGGGGTCAGAGCTGAAGTCTGTCCTCTATCTGCATGCAGAGAGAAGCTGAACCCCTTCAGGGGACACATTTATATTCACAGTGATGTCTCAGTTTATACACCCCCTGTAAATACAACCATATGTTGCGCTTGGTGAGTCCCGTAAAACAAAGCTCGTTAACAAGTTTCCAGCTCCTCCCCCAACTGCGCCTTCTCTCTTTCTCATTGTTTTCTCGCACATCTTTTGAGATGAACAATGGAAACTTACACAGCCACGCATGTCAGATACACAGATGTACAGAAAACCAAATGCGTCGAAAAAAGAAAAGCAAAGACAGCATTTGTTTGCCACAGACAAGTACCGCTCGAAGAAAAGTTGCTTAATCAATTTTTCTCCTTTGTTTCCACATACGTGAACAAAAATCAAAACAATGTTTTTATGTAATAACAGTCTGGTTGTTGGCAGTCACTTTGAAGAGAGGGAGTTATTGTTTTAGTCCCTGCAGCTCAGAGAATAGACTTTAAAATACTTTTGTTAGTTTACAAATCGCTGAATTAGTGCCATAACACATTAAAGATCTGCTGCTGTTGTATCAGCCTTCCAGAACCTCTCAGGTCTTCTGGTTCTGGTCTGCTCTGTGTTTCCAGAACCAAAACCAAACACAAAGCAGCAGCACGCTGAACCACATTAACACCCTCTTACTTTTGGTGACCACTCCTTCCAGTCTGATGATGTTGGGATGGTCAAACTGGCCCATGATCGACGCCTCCCGCAGGAAGTCCCGCCGTTGACGTTCTACGTAGCCTCCTTTCAGCGTCTTTATTGCCACCGCAATCTCCTTTTTGCCCGGCGTTCTCAAGCGGCCGCTGCACACCTCGCCAAATTCCCCTGCAAAACACGATTGCGCGCACACACATGCAGACGCACACCACACACAATCATGTTTCCAGCATTTCAAAGATGATTACGCTGAATTATTTCGCCTGAACTTGACTTTAATCTAAACCCAGTGGCACCACCAGGGGCTTTGAAGCTCTCTTTCAATGTTTTCTATGAATATAAATTTAAGCTGATTGGGAAGCTGCATCTGCTGCAAAGTTTATTTATTTATTTAGGTCTTATTTTATCTGTTTATGGCTCCTTTGTGTTTGTGTCCTCCAGAAATCAATGAGTGCATAATGCTCAGTACTTTGAACGTTTAAAACAAAATGCTGGACACACTGAATTTTAACTGCTTTTTATTTTCTCACTTTTCTTTTCAATTGTACTATTAATCCATTCTTTGTAAGTGTATTGTTAAATTATTGCATCATGTAAGTGTAAATTATAAGGCACAGGAATGTAACTGGGTTTGAATTAAATTTACTTTATAAAGAAATAAAGCAATGATTCAAATTTGATTAAACAATACTTTAGTGATCCTAAAGAGATATGAAATATTTTTTATATTAATTCAAGATTAGTCAAGGAGTTGCTGTACATGCTGATGGCTGTGTGCAGAAAGGATCTCCTGTAGCAGTCTGTATAACAGAGCATTTGAAGAAGCCTCTGACTGAAGACACTGTTTTTCTATGACAGACTCATGAAGAGGATGCATAAATGTCTTGATTTTAAGTAAAATCCTTCTTTGCATCATCATGTCCAGAAGTTACACAGTCATCCCCAGAACAGAACCAGAACAGAACCAGGAAGTTGAGCCTTTTCAGGTTCCTGATTCTGATGCTGCTGCCCCAGGAGATGATTGCAGAAGACATGATGCTCTAAACTTATTGAAGATCTGCAGCATCTTGCTACGCTTCCTCAACAAGTGCGTCCTCCTTTGTCCCCCCTTGTGGACCATCGGTGCTCAAAGTAGGGCCTGCAGGCCATTTGCTGCCCGTGAAATGGTTTTGTATGGCCCCTGGACCACAGTTCAGGAACACCTTAAATTATGATTTTTAAATTAAAATCTACTTATAAAAATGTCAGATGCCACACAAACTGATCATCTTTTCAAAGTTTTCAAGTTTCCTTATATTTTCACTCATTGACTTGCACTCTAAGTACAACTTAGTGCATCCAAATCTGCTTTTAATTGCTAAATTAAAACTTGTTTTCAAATGCAGACTGATCTAGATTCTGTTTTTATTGCTGAGAATAAATTAAATGGGTTTTTTCCCCGGTTTGGATCTACAATCCCATTCCTAAGGAAAAAACCCCGAAACAAAACGTATTTGTTTAATTAAAATAGTTCATGCTTAGTTTATTGTGGAGTAGGTAAATAAATAAATAAATAACAACAACATCTCGGTGATTTTAGTTTTTGAAAATTAGACAGTTTGGACACCCCTGTTGAAGAAAACTTTACTGTTGCGTCTTCAGTCCAGGAAATAGGGTTTGGCCAAACCTGTTTCTCCTGAAATATACACAAATCTCCTTTACTTTGTTCACATTGAAGATGAGATCATGTATTGTAAAATTAAATCCCTGCAATTCTTTTTATGTGCCTCTTGAGGAGTAACTGGACCCCTGCAAACCTAAACCAGTCACTGTTGCTTTTGTCCACTATAAAGAACCGATCTCAGACAAATGGCAAAAGAACAAGGCGCAAATCTTATCAACAAAATCCAAACCATGAAGCTGCGAGCAAAGTCTGCCACCTGGGGGCAGTGTTGCAGTTCCCATCTAATCTCCAGCATCACAACTTCTCTGATTAGCTCAACTTTATCACAGTTTTTTTCTTGCAGGTATAAAAAAAGAGCCTTAAATAAATCCAAACACCTCTTTTGTTCCTTAAGTCTATTATAGTGTTAATACCCCAACAGTGTGCGGTGAGAATGTAACTAAAGCACCGGGAGATGATAAAACACAACTTCTGTCTCTTAGAGGGAAGTTTGTTGGGTTCGTTATCAGTGGAAGAGAGATGATAATCTCATGTGAATGTTTGAATCTATTGTTATTACAGCAGGTGTGAAATGGTCCTCTTCTGCCCACGTCGTCGATGCGACTCAGAAGCGCAGCGTCGGATGAGTGTGAAGCGCGTGTAGGTGTGTGCTTGTACCTGCTCCGATCACCCTCTCAATGCGGATCCTGGACGGGTCGATTTCTTTAGTGAATTCGTGGACGGCCTGTGTGGGATCCTCGTATGTGTCGGGGTCCACATACGCCTTTATTCCCGGAAAAGGGACTGTTTGGGAAAAGGTGAAGTAGAATTATAGGTTTTCAATATCTAATTTTGCCTTTATGAACGACGGGATCATGGTATGAAAACTAAACAATGACTTGGCCACTCTTGAGACAAACATTTCAGACACAAAGAGACACATTTAACCATTGCTATTGATCAGGAGAGGCGGGGGCTCCAGCTACAGTACACTGTTCGATATCTTCTCCTCTTCAGAGCACAGGTCTTTTTGCTGAAAAGCAGCAGGGCAGCACCCTGAGCGCTGAGCCAGTCATTTAACTTGGCACAAGTTTTTCACTTTGTTTCAATCAACCAGCTGCCCTGATGAAGTGTCCTTGAGCAAACAGGTAAAAATTTTTTTTACTGCCTGCTGCTGTTCAGGCTTTGACCCCAACCTCCCACAGGAGAGGAGGCCCTTGAAAGAAGTCGTTGTTCTCCTTTTAGGGATCAATACAGTATCAGCAAACTAAAAACAACAATCAGGCGCATGGAGAAAACTCTCAGAAGCTCCCCGAGTTTCTCTTAAAGCATCTGCATCAACGTTGCACTCGGCGCCAAGGCTAGGCGCAGCTGAGAGACTTATAGCTTATGAAAAAAAGTGTGAATTATTTTGAGAAATGAAACGTCTGTGGTGCGGCAAAAAATTTTGTTGACATTTTTTTCTTGCTGTTTTTTAAGTTCCTTGCTCTCTGGCCTCAAATCTTAAAATATTCCCCATTCCTCTTTGTTCTGTGATGTACTGACTTTGAAACAAGTTACCCTTCTCTTTGTATCTTTAACCTTGTGTTTTTCCCTTCTCTGACTTTGCTCCTATTTTTACCACTCTCTCCACTCTCAAACACATATTGAATTGAAAAAGCATTCGTACCCTTAAAACCTTTAAAATTTTGTTACTTTACAACAACACACCTCGACGTTCTTTATTGGGATTCGATGGAACAAACACAAAGTTTGCTGGAAATGTGATTTAAGTATTCTAAGCAAAAGATCTTTGAAGATCTAATGTGGACATTTCATGTTTTCCATTTGCGTCTCTACTGTTTCTAAAAACAGCTCAATCGCTTAAAAAAAAAACCCCACCAAGTAATTTTGTGGTAATACATTAATGTTTTTTTGTGTCTGGAAAATGAGCTGGTTCAATAACCTTCCAAATGCAACGTTACAAATCAGCAGGCACTGCCCTGCTACCTCGCAACCTTGCCCGTTACCTAGCAACCCAAGTGGAACTCCAGCACGTTTGGTCAGCAGGTTTTCCTGCTGGCTGCTGAAAAAGACAAGTGCTTTGTTGTTTACCATCCAGAAACCACTTGCTGCATTCTTGTTGGTTGTGCAGGAGGCTCTACTTCTGCTTTTCAAAGATGTGCGGTTGTATAATTGCCCATCTGTTTGCAGCCATTTTCATGTGGGAATGTAAATGTTGAGTTGGTGGTTGTGGCCAGCAGCAACTTCTTTGGATTTAAAGTGACAAGAGCTATAAACAGCTAAAAAAAAAATCCAGAACTGAGCGGACAAAAAACTCATTGTCTCGCTTTGCAAAGCTCACAGACCTGACATAAACTGTTCAAGGAAGCATAATAAGCTTCTTTTAAATTCAGGGGTGTTGAACATATATAAAAATTGGATGTCCTGGAGAAATGGAGTTGAAGCAACGAGATCTGAACCTGTTTCATTGCAGCATTTTGTGTTTAGGACCATGGTACTGAAGAAAGGGAGCATCAAAACCACTCATGTCTTTTATAGCAAATTTTCCTTAAGCATTCTTCTTATCTTCTGTTGAACCCAATCCATCCTCCCATCACCTCTGACCAACTTCACTGCTGTTCCTGAAGAAAATTACAAGCATCCACCTCCATCTTTCACCACAACATGTTTGGCGTGAGCTCCTCGAGAGCTTGTACCCCGGGTGTTAGGATTTGTTTCTGCAACAGCCCTCCTGAATCAAGTAGCTCACTTATCTCCTAAGCCTCCCACCAGGTTCTGCGGCAGCCTGCTAATTACCTGTCCATTTGATTCAGCTGTGTTTAAGTAGGGGAACATCTAAAACACACGCCCTGAGGAGCGGAAATGCCCACTCTAGTTGTAGGTAAAAAAGTTTGATTTTTGTTTCACTTCTCCAAGTTTGCTGTGTCTCCTACAAGACTTTAAGCACGGCATCTTGAGTCTTTCTTACAACTATTGATGTCTATTTGCCATTCATCCATAAAGGCCAGGTTTGTTGTGTGGTAAACAGGTAGTTGGTGTCGTGTTGATGCATTTTCCCACCGCAGCTGTTTATTTCTGCAGCTGGAGCTGCCATGACCTCTAGGCTGCTTCTCTGAATAATCCTCCTGATGGTTTAGGTGGACATCATCCATGTCCTGGTACGTTTGCAATTGTATCACAGATTTCATCTTCAGATATTGTTCAACCAGCTGATTAAATCATGATTTAACTTCAGTGTTTTAGCAAATAAGTAGGAAACATGTTTTATCAAAGTTAGATAAACTGTCATTTTGTTGTGACAGTTTGGTATGAGACAGATAATCTATGGAGGAAAATCTAAATGTCTGCCTTCTCCCAGTGCTAACTACAGATATTCACCACTCAGTCAGAAACAACCAATCAGAGGCAGGAGGATTGTCCTAGCGCTGTCAATCATCCTCATGTACGAACTGATCAGACACTTCCCGTTGCTCTCAGCTATGCTACAGCTTCTTCCTGATAGTAGAGTGTGCTGTGCATGCTAAAGCTAGTCAGCATAGCCACTGATGAACAGTTTTCCTAGAATGGCAAGTTGTTTGTCTGCCATTAGTATATTTAGCAGTGCATACATGGGCATGATTGACAGCGCTACGACCTTCCTCTGGGCTTTCATTGGTTGTTATTGACTGGGAGCGGTACAAACCATACTGTCAACATAGTTTTAACAAATATGCAAAAAACTGATTTTCTTTTTTTTACAAAGTAAAACTCTAGGTTTAAATTTGACTCTTCTTTACCAGACGCCTTTGGGAAATAAAGCGGGAGACATTTTATTCATCTTAAAACAGTTTTCTGTGAATTTTTAAGAGCTTCTGAGATTATTTCATAATCAAAACCAACTTCAAACGTCTTCACAATTCCCCCTTTGACCTGTCAGGTGTGTTACTTGGATTCATCTTAGACTTAATTGGTAACAGTTTGGATTTTATTTAGGGGTGTTGCACATAAAAATGTGCTTTAATTTACTTCCCAAATCTAAGCTACTTTGTAATAAAGTTCAAGAAGTATGAATACTTTTGCAAGGCACTCTTGGTGGCAGCAATAAAAAGTTTGGTTTTAAAGAAAAATTGAATAGCAGTAAATAAAAGTTAACAATAAATCATTTCCTGCAGCACAAAGCAAAAGACATTTCTTCGTTGAAAAAAATCTCATTGTGAACTCATGAGCTGAACTTACTATGCAGAGAACCAGATCCACATGGGAAGTGATCCATGCTCCTCGCATATTGAATGCAAAGAAAAGAGCAGGTGGCTAGATACTAAATGTGACTCACTGAATGTCTCTCAGCTCTTTTGCTTCCTGTTTACTGGCAGACCGCAGCGACACACCACAGAAAGCAAAATCCTCACCAGGCAGATGTCCTTTCACAGCGTCTCACCAAAAGATTAACCATCCAAATTAAAAATCAAAACTACGAGGCAGGCAAATTGATTTACCGTGTCCGTTCTGATAGTCGGTCCGTCTTTTGTCCTCCGAGGTCATCTTGGCCTTGAAGTACCACTGGCACCTGGAAAACAGACAATTTAAAAGAAGAAAAAGGGTTAAAAAAGGGAAATTTTAAATGATATGTGTTAAACGATGAAAAATAAGCAATGCCATCAACAAACTGTAAATTCAGACTGAGTGCTGATATCAAACTGGATCCACTCTTGTCACAACCAGAGAAATAACACATCAGACGCCCTTTTAATGAGCAGGAAAACACATAAGTCTACACTTTTCTTCTGTTTTGCTTCGATGTTAACGCCTCTAAAATGTCAGGCTGTGACATGCCTTAGGATAGAGCAGGTCAAAAATAACAGCTATTACTTTCTCTTGTTAAAATGTTGCTAACAATACTGAAGGGAGTTCCTTATTATACGGGTTATGTGACAATGCATAACAACCATCATCCAGCCATTTGATTCATTATAGGCATCTTTGTTAAATAGCAGACTGCAACTCCAGTCCTCAAGTGCAACAACTCTGCAACTTTTTGGAAGCATACCTGAAACCTGAAACGAATGGACGGTTAATTACCAATCCTTTGCAAAATGTGTCAAAGGAGATAAATCAGCCTTTTGATTCAGGCGTGTTGGAAAATAGATGCAACTAGAAGTTGTGGGACAGAAGCATAACGGACTGGAGTTGCTGACTCTTGCTCTAAAAATGTAACAAAGCAAGTTCCCAATGTGCGACAGGTTTCTGCAAAAAAGATGGATGGATGGATGGATGGATGGATGGTTGGATGGTTGGATGAAATGTCAAACTAACAAATAAGACGGATGGTTGAACGCATAGTTACAGCTCTTAGTTGTAAAACGTAACAGAGTTTGGATATTCAAACATGTTTGTCATACTCTGTTACTTCTCTGTACTTAACCAGACCTGGATGATATTTAGCCAAATTACAGACTTTTCCAGATTGTGTAGTAGCACTTTTTTTTAAATCTTCACTTCAAATCATAAAGCAGAAGCAAAAACCCTAAAGAGTCATGACAAAGACCATCGATAATTTGCCTCCATTTTTTTTTAAAGTGACACACTCAACCGTACAGGCGTAGATTTGAAGTTGCAGTAACAAGCTCACACCAAAATGTGTTAGAGAGGAGTAAAAGTAAAAAAATACCTGATGTGAACAAGGTGGTAGAAGTAACTGGGAGATCATTAATTAATACAGTATATCTTGGAGGGAATTGAGCTGTACATTCATAAAACACATCACTATCACATATTTCCTGCTAAAAACATATTTCCAGGCCGAATCAGACAGCATAATGTGATGGAATACAACCAGGGTAGTTTCGTATCTGATCAAAAATCACATTCAACTTTATCCTAAAATAGAAAAAAACAAAAGGTAGAGCTACAGCTTTACATTTTCAACAAATTTCAGATAATGCCAACCAAACATCTCAATGCTTGAGAAACACAAACATCCAAACTCCTACCCAAAAGGAACAATGACAAAGACTGTCATGTTGTCAGAGCACACTTTTATTGAAAATATGTAACTGTGCACAAGCTGTCTCGTCCTCCGGTGTGCGAGAGCCAGAGGTGTTTATCTGGGCACTGAGAGACCGAGGAAGCAACAAACAGAAAGCGGCTGCCAGGAAAAGTCTGAAAACCCGCAAGATTAGATGGCAGCATCTGTAAAGGATCTCAGAAGATTTGATTCAAACAGATCCTTGCTCTGAAATTAAAATGGGAGAAAGCACAAAGTGCCCTGCATGAGTCATGTTCGTAGAAAGGTGCCGGGTATAAAGGCTGCAACGTAAGTCACAGCTGAAATGTTGTCTATAAAACTCTGAATAGCCTATTGAGAGTTGTTTGCAATAAAACACCGCTGCAAAAGCTTGTAGAAGCAAGCTTACCTTATACCCTCGTGTGGTTTAAAGGCTTGTAAACAGTTTGAAATGTTCAGGTTTTTTTTTAATTCATTCATTGCTTATGTTTTGAGTGGAGGGTTGTTGTCTGGCAGGAGATCCAATTGCAGATGCATTTTTTACCAAAAGCCTTTAGTCTTTTAACAATGTCGTGATGAAATGTATGACATTGATTAATGCTATAATCAATGTCATAAGTAGCTACTGACTTTAATCAGGCAGTAGCTACTTTATTCAGCTACTGACTCAATGAAGTGGCTGAAAGAAAGAATACAGTCCGTCGCATTAACAATAATTACACTGGTCAAGAGTAAAAAAATGGAGGCTTGTCAACTGTTTTAGGGGAATTTTGATGCACTGAATCCAGAAATCACATTGGTTTTGCTCAATCAGGTCAACTTTCTGAAGTGACCTACATATTAGTTTGGGATGCTGGGGTGCAGCCATGATGGCTGATTGCTGCTGAACGCACACGAGGCGTTCGAAGAAACGGAAGTTTATGTTGCACAATGAAGACGTAATATTCAATTTACATGCATTTTCCTTTACAGGTGTTTATTATTCAATTTACAGAATCCAAGATTGTAACATTTAATTAATACACTCTGTTAGAAAACATTTTTTTTCTCCTGAAACCTCTTTTTGGATGAGAAATATTGGCGGAAATGAACTGGTAATGTCGCAAAAATATTATCAATTTAGTCAGAAGATTGGATTTTTCTAAATCAAATCAGAATTAAAACCTGACAAAAAAAAAAACTAGATGCCATTTTTGGATTCAGTGGTGCAAAATAGTCTTAATTCAGTTGAAAAAACATAGAAACTCAATGTAAATATGATTATCCTCTTTTAAAAAGATGCTCAGTGGTTTAGATGCAACCTGGACCGACTCAGTTCTGACTGGAAGAAAAAAAGTTACATTTCCCCCAAAAAACATAAAACAAGCAGCTAAAAGAAAAAAAAAGGAAAGTAACTGAACTAACATAAACAGAGATGTGAAAGTGAATGAGGCACATGATTGCTTTATGTTTTTTATACCAAAGATCAGTGACCGTCATAAACTCTCTGGCGTCAAAGTTAACAGTGCCGATCATTTAACACAGATGCTGTGGACCTTCAGATAAAAAAGATCAACTTTGTATTGATATTTCACATTTTTTCACTGTAATCATTCATGACATTTAGTATCAATGGACTCTTTGTAGTCTCAGAGTTTTGAGCTTCTTTCATCTGTCTACCCTGAGAGCTGCAATCGCAACACAGAATAACCAACAATTGTTGCACAGAGGGTTGAAATTAAAGCCACAGTGAATAATGTAAAATTGAGTTTATTTTATGATTAACTGTGGAATTCAGTCAGATTATGTATAAATATTGAAAAATGTCTGTCTTAAAGTGTTTATTATAATGAATTACCCAGATTGATGCATGACAGAAATATAAGATAAAAAGAAGAAATTTACAGTAAAATAGGAGGAAAAATACAACATATGTTGTGTCTGTGTGGAATGCAACTACAAATTATTATTATTATTATTATTATTATTATTATTATTATTATTGTCATGACAAATTTAATTCCCAACTTAAACATCTTTCATATGGTAACAAAACTGGTATAAAGAAAATCAAATAACATGAGTTTCTTGGTTAGAAAACAGTTTTATACGAAGAAAAAAGCCAAAAACAATTTTACACACATGATGGGAAATATTAAAGTACGACAGGATAGAAACATCCTTTATTGTCCCTCACTGGGGAAATTCAGGTGCAACCGTTGCAAAGTGACAAAAACGGTAAAAATAAGAAATTAAGGATAAAGTGTAAGAACAAAAATGTAGTTATGAAAAATAAGACACTCAGATTCTAACTGATTAAATAAAATAGCAAACTGTGAAACTGCTCTGCATTAGAGTAAAGTTAAGAGGTTATTTAGCTAGCAAACTGATAGGGTGCAGCAGCAACGCTACGTCTTGATATCACTGAATGTTTCTGTGAGGTTCAACCAATCTGCTGCTATTAAAACACTTTTATACTTTACTGAAATTGTGTTAAGTTTATTTATTTATTTATTTATTTTTTTCTGCAGTAGAAAGCAAAACCACTTCTTAACAAGTGATCATCGACTTACTTTAAAACCCCACGCACGCTTTGTGATTTATGACCCACAATGAAGTCAAACCTCAACTTTGGCCACCTGTGGTTTAAGGAATATCTGTTTCAGTTTGACACTAAGCTCAATTACAGCTTTTAAGGTGAGGAAAGAAAACATTTTTGTTATTCAGACGTGACTTCCTGTTAACTAAAGGTTGCGCAATGCCTCCGTTTGAACATGGCAGGTCGAATAAAGTATTTATAGCTGTGAGAAGTGGAGGTGGCACTGCTGCAGAAAGGCAGTGAGATGGGAAATAATAGTATAAAGAATGAAAGGTGCTTTGAGCCCTCTCTCTGAGGCCGTATCACTGATGAATTTTAAAATGTATTTTGCAAGTAGAGGACTTAATTAATGACCATGTGCATGAGGGACGCTCACTCCCACAAGTGGATCTCCTAATAAAACTTCTCATATTTCATCATTTATTAGATAGAACACATAATTCTACAGCCTGTTTCCTATAGAGGCAAAGTTTATAAAAGGATGATCTAAGCTTCACTTTCAGTTGATCGTTAAAAAGTTAACTTTGCCAATTTGTCTTTCTTTTTCCAGTAAAGACGGGTCAATGCATTTCAAGTTTTAGCATTAATAAAATATAGGCTCACAGAAATTAACTCTAAAAACACAAACCATTGCCGACAGCGAGATCAAGTCTGTGTAGATTTTTTTTGGCGGTTCAACGGGGTTTCTTCCCAATGGGAATAACATAACAAATCACCGAAGACGTCGTTTAAATGAATGGCAGCCAAGTAGGAGAAAACAGTCCGGAGGGTTGACCCAACACCCAGAAACAGACAGCTCCCACTGTGACACTGGCACTTCAGCGGAGAGCCCCGTCTTCACTGTCACTGCTGCAGACAGACCTGCCTCTCCCGCAGCTCTGAGGATTCACATCACTGTGATCCGGACCGAGCGCGCCGCTGTCCTGCCTGGGACGAGCGGACGGACAGAGGTCAGCTGTGTCGGTGCAGAGACTGCTGGTCAGGT